ATGAAATAAAAATAAAAAACTTCTGTATGGAAAAAGTCATTATAAATAAAAAGAAAATTAAAAGTCACCATAATAAAATTAATAGAAACTAAAATGCATCATAATTAAAATAAAAAATTAAATCAAAAGTCATAAGCAAAATTAAAATAGCATACAGTTATAGTTCTTGCTTGAGCCCAGTAGTTCAAAATCAGCCTGTGCAACAGAGCAAGACCCCAACCTCAGTAGATATATAAAAAGAAAATGGAAAACAGACAAAGAAAAAGTCAAGCGATAGATTTGGAGAAAATATTTGTACCATATGTAACAGGCAAAGGATTAATTAATACCCAGAATATATAAAGGGATTTTCTAAATTGATAAGAAAAGATAAACTACCCAATCTAAAAAGAGATAAAAGGTATCTACAGGCACTTCACAGAAGAATCCACAAGTGACTCATAAACATAGGAGATGATGCTTACATTCAGACTTATCAGTGAAGTGGCAATAGATGGACATGAATTAAAAATACTGCTAGAACTCACTGTTGATGACTGGTGAGTGGCTGCTGGCATTGGTTTATAACTCAATGATGTTGACTATGTTTGACTTGGTTCTTCTGAGGGAAGGGAGCTGCCATATCTGTAGAAACCACACTCTGTTTATAGCTGGTAGAAAAAGAGGCACAAAGTGTGTGGGGGTCCTATTAGAAAAGGTTTTCCTAGAGGCTTAGACTTATGCTTGGCCAGAATTGTCCCACATGGCTTCTCCTAGCTGGGTAGCTGAGAAAAATGAATATTTGGCTTTCCAGCCTCTCGAGGGGAATGGGCAAGGAAATAGGTTTTGATGTACCATAACCTCAGTATCTGTCATATCCGCAGGTAAGAGAATGGGAATGTTTGTACAAACTATGACCCATCATTGGTGAGGAAAACTGCAACAAATTGATTAAATATGTAGAAACCATTATGGGAAGATTGCCAAGATGAGGAACAGAATATATAACCTGAAAAAAATATAAATACTTTATCTCTGGGGTTGGGAAAGGAATTTGAATAGTAGAGGAAGACTTTCAGGCTTTACTCTATACTTGAGAATGGGGGTCCTATACTTCTTGAATGATTAAAAAAGAAATGCCAAGCAATTATTTGCTCTTCTCCCCCAAAACAAGAAAAACCCAAAATTCTCTTCTTTGCTCCTGGAATCTACTACATTTTTCACAATGGCCTTTGATTTCTCTTTTCTTCCCTATTCCCATGTCTATACTCCATTTTTACTAGTTTGTGTCAGGTTGATTGCAATTAGGCTCTGCCACTTATACCTACATTTTTTGAGGGGCAGTTTGAACTCAGGGCTCTGTGCTTGCTAGGCAGGTGTTCTATCTCTTGAGCCATACCTCCAGCCGCTTTTGCCTTGCGTATTTTTGATATAGGGTTTTCCTTTTTATCCAGGCTGGCGTAGACTGTGATCCATTATTTGAGCTTCCAGCCATAGCTGGGATGACAGGTGCACAGAACCACGGCCAGCCATTGGTTGAGATGGGGTCATGTGAGTTTTGCCTGGGCTGGCCTGGAAACATGATCTTCCAGATCTCTGCCTCCCAAGTAGCTAGTAGGATTACAGGGGTGAGCCACCCCAGGTTTACTCCCATCACCCATCTATCCACAAATCTTTTATGTATTTATTTTTTAAAAACTCCACCACAGTGTTCAGAGAGATGCCAAAGTGTCCCATGGGAAAAGAATTCTGTGGTCTGGTGAATCTGGAACCGCTTTGATCAACATAGCTAGAAAATATTCCTTCAGAGGGGAATAGCTATAACTTTAAAATGCTAGTGCTAAAGGAATCTCTCACAGAGGAGACAGTGTGTAGATCTCAATCTATTTGACTATACAACCCTTCTTTTGAGGAATACTATTGTCCTTCTCAGAATGAGCATTGAGAAATAATGAGCCAAGGTGAAGATGTTTGTAATTGTCTAGCATCAGCGGCCTTGCTCAACATGCTCTTACATCTAATTTTCCCTGCTTCTCAAAATGAGTTTCCTTCCCTGCTTCTTCCTTCAGGGGTCAGCGCTAGTTCCTCTTCCTCTGGGGAGTTCTTCCTAATCATCTTAGTCCCCCTGACCTGCGGCATTTACACCAGAACTCTCCACTGTCTACTCTGAGCTCCCTTTCATGGGTCCAACCTGAGCAGCACTGAGATTATCAGTTAAGTAATCTGTAGTAGGACAATGTGTGGCTGCTGAGGCAGTACTGCTCATCTTCCCCGACTTGAATGCTCACCACTTGGACAAAGTCCCCAGGACCTCAGATGAACCTCCTCTCACTTTATACTGGCAGTGAAAGCACTGGACATGGCACTAGTTTTCTGTGGTTGCCATAACAGAGTATCACGAATGAACACAAAATTTTAATTTATAGTTCTGTGGGTCAGAAGTCTAATATGGGTCTCACAGGGCTAAAATCAAAGGGTGGAGAGGACTGTGTTCCTTCTAAGGGTCTTTCCCAGCTTCTAGAAGCCTCTGGGTCCCTGGGATCCTCCAACCTCAACACCTGTGAGGGATGCTTGAGGTTTTCTCACATCGCATCACTCCAATCTCTTCTGCTACTCTTTTCCATTTTATTTTTTAATTAGTTAATTATTAATTAATTTTTTGTGGTACTGGAGATTGAACCCAGGCCTTTCCCACTTTTAAAGGAGTTTTATGGCAACACTGGGCTTACTCAGAAAAATCAAAGCTAATATCTCTATTTAAGTTCAGTTGATTGCAACCTTAATTCCATCTGTAAGCTTAATTCCCCTTTGCCTTAGAACCCAACGTTCAGTTTCCATGAACTGGAAAGTGGACACCTGGGGATGGGAGAAAATTATTCTGCCTGCCACAGGCAGAGTGTAAATTGAGAGTTTGCATATTGGTGGCGGTGTGTGTGTGAGACAATACATAGGGAAGACTCTTTTGGGATTGTAAAACTCCCTCAAATGCAGGGAGGCCCTACAGCATGATCTTTAGCAAATCACCTGAGTCTCAGCACTGACAGTTCCCCTAAAATGGAAATTGCCATCCTTTGTGTTCTCAAGAAAATAACTATGTAAATAAGCTTAGCTTAGAAGCTGATAAATAGGCCCCATGAAGTTCTTGATGAGTAGTGATGAGGAGGGCGGGCGAAGTTATCCAAATGACATCTGAAGAGGGTTGGAGAGATTTCCGGGGAAGAGTGGGTGCTAAGCTGGGTTGGAATCCAGTAAAAAGAACCAAGTTTCGTTGAAGCTTCTGCTTAGGCTTAAAAAACTGAAGAAGTTAATGACCACACTTCCCTGGGACAGAGTAATGAACTCAAGGCGGAAATCTGTGAGGTCTCCATAGGCAAAGATTTTATGTTACTTAATTCAACCAAGGCCAGATATATCATAGTTGTTGTTCTGTTTCTTAGTACCGCACACAAAAAAAGGAAAGGTTCCACCGAGATTTGAACTCGGATCGCTGGATTCAGAGTCCAGAGTGCTAACCATTACACCATGGAACCGCCACGCGTGTGTAGCCGCCTTCCGCTTTCTAATCCTTATAGAACCCCGCCCCCATCCGCGAACACACACTGAGAGGCGCGGCGGCGCTCGCACACTCCCGGCGCTGCGCTTCCCAGCATGCAGGCGCGAGAACTGAACTGGGGTCCCCTAGGACTGTGGTTCATCTGGAACTCTCAGATTCAGTGTCCCCTGTGAGCCTCGTTGAGGATAACTGCGCGAGTGAGAAGCTGAAGACCGTACCGAAGGACCGCCGTGGGCACGCCCTTCCCGGCTCAGGGGCGGGGCGCCAACTCCCCGGAAGTACTTCCCGCAAGGGGCTGGGGCTTGCCGGAAGTGACGCAGAGGCAGGGAGGGGCTCTCCACCCGGTCCGGCAGCTGAAGCTCGGCGCCCGGGTTATCCCTGCAGCGACGCCCCCTGGTCCCACCGAAACCACTGCTGCTCCCGCCCATTCGCTCCTCGGCCGCGCCATGGGCACCCGCGACGACGAGTACGACTACCTCTTCAAAGGTGAGGCCGTGGGCTCGCACTGCCCACGGAGCCCCCACTCGGGCCTGGGACCCTCCCCGGGGACCCGCGTGCTGGCCACCCGGGCATTGGAGTTGCCCTGCCTCAGCCGTTCCTTCGGGGCGCTCGTACCGCGGTCCCCGTGGAGCTCCTCCTCCGCTCACACGGGGGTCCCACCTCACTCTGTCTCTGCGGGGCGCGAAGGCCTTCGTAGTCTGCGCCCCTCGCCGTGTGTCCTTCCCTGGTGGACTACCGTCTCCAAAGCCGTGAGGTTCCTTCCCGGGGGTTCCTGGCCCCGCCGCCCCTCCCACCGTGGATGTCCTAGGGCTCATTGCCCCTCCCTGGCAGGGCGCGCCCTCCCTCCTCATTCCCCACCAGCCCCTCGAGAGGCCCCGGACTCCTTTCTCGGCCTCCCGTGGGCGCGGGCCCCCACTTTGCGTCTCCTCGCCGCCCATCCCCGCGGGCGGACGCCCCCTTGGTCAGATTCTCGGGTCCCGGGCCCAGGCCCCCACCCCGTGGCACTTCTCGAGGTCATTGACCTCGGCCTGTCCCTTCCCTCCCCAAGGATCGACAGCTCTCTTGCTCTCTCTCTCCCTGTGCCTTCCCTTGCTCAAATCGTGTTTAGAGCTCTTGTGTCTCCGGTGCGGCCCGGCTGATGGGAGGAATGACCAGGGGGGTTGTCCATCACCCACGCGCGCACTTGTCGCAGTGACCCGGCAGGCTGGTGACGTCCCACCTAGCCCTTTTCCCCTGCTGTCCTTTCCCAGCTTCATCCAGCCCGGGATAACTCTTTATTCGGCTAGCGAGAAGGGGTTGCGGATGGGTGGTGGCTGTTATCCTTGCCAGACCTGAAGGCCCAGTTCCTGAACAGGAAAGGTTGTGCGCTGCACAAATACTAGCCTGCTTATCACTATGGACTCGTTGCTTCCTGCTGCAACGCTGGGAGGACCCAACAGGAAGGCAAGAGTCCTGGTTGGCTACATACCTTTTCCAAACGCTGGAAGGTGATGGTGGTGGTGGTGTGCTCTTTTGGCCACATTAAATACTTACTATAAGGTAGGGAAACATGTAGTGTCCGTGGACAAAACATAACGGAGGATGGGGAGTAGAAAGAAAAAATTGCTTATTGGTCGAGTCCGGAAAGAATCCAATTTTTTTTCTTTAATCAACAAAGATGAAGGATACAGTTTTCAGTGAGACAAGTGTACAGTAGATCTTTTTTGTATTGGAAATGCGCTCGTTCTTTGGTAGGCTTTCTCTGCTGCCGAATTAGAAGGGCAGCCAACAGTAGCGAGCTGAACAAAGCTCAGTACCAGGGAGGAAGAAGCCATTGCTATAAAAGCTGTACTGCGGAGGGTGGAGTTAAGGGTGTTGAGCATGGTGACTGTTTCTGACTTTGCCATTGGGTGCTAGGAATGATTGACCAAACCAAGCAGGAAACACTGCTTTGCTTTACCAATACTTTGCAAGTCTTGGTATGCTAGCTGATAATACACCCTTATCAACACTTCTCTGAGCTAGGATATTCTGTGTGTAGGACTAAGTACCTTCAACACCCCCATACTGGAAAGTCACGGACTGTTAGGAGGATACCTAATTAAGTTTACAAAAAGAGAGAGACAGAGACAGAGACAGACCTGGGTTATTTGCATACTGCTTGCTGAAGGCATCTGAGGTGAAATTACTTGAATCTCTGGAGACTTTGGTGTTAAAGCGAGTTTTTTATTTTTTATTTTTTAAGTACTGTATAATGGCAGTGGGCAGCTAACCTCCTTTGGAGTAATCAATTTAATTTACCTGTTTAGTTTTGGTTCTGGGGATAGAACTTGCTAGGCAAGTGCATAGTACCATTGAGCTGCATTTCCAGCCCTTGGTTTTTTGAGACAGGGTCTTGCTGTGTAATCCAGGATGGTCTAGAACTTGAGATCTTGCTACCTCTGGTTCCTCAGTGCTGGGATTACAGGTGTGCCTCACTACTGTTAGCCTTTGAAATGGATTAGGACAAGATCATGGTATTTCTCCTGTTTGATTTAGAACTTGAATGTTATAGGAAGTTGTTTACTTTTTTTTCCTCCTAAGAGTATTAATTATCCTGGATTGGTTTAAGGACTTTAATTTTAATTTTGGGATTAGACCATCCTTCTAACAATAAGAACACAGAGCTTTGGAATCAATAAACCTGGGATTGAATCCTGACTTAGGTCTTTTGATTTATGACCTTGGGAAAGTTAACTTTTGAGCTTCAGTTTCTTTAGAAGAGGAAATACTGCACTACCTGCCTCTCAGGACTGCTTGAGGAATACATAAGACTAAAATTTTAGTTCCTGTGATGACTCAAATATATGGTGAATGAAATTGCTGTGGTTCTTGTCAGTTTTTTGAGGCTTAAGTCTTTATTAATAACTACAGTATTGAAATGTTAGTAAAGAAACATAAACCTAGGAAATTTACAAAGCATTTTATGTTTACATGGGTTATGGTTTCATTTTGTTACATGTCTTGCTGTTTAAAACAGTGCTTAAAAAATTCTGCTGAGAAGAATTTCCAGTTTTTTAAAGCTCCTACAGGATATGAGTCACTAAAAAAACCCAACAAAAAAACTTTGATGCTGATTACTTAACCAGCTTCTTTTTTATACAATTATCATATAAAAATGAAGCAAAAATTTTTAAAAAAAATTTGTGTGTGTGGTACTGGGGTTTGAACTCAGGGCCTACACCTTGAGCCACTCCACCAGCCCCCCCTTTTTTTTTTTGTGATGGCTTTTTTTCAAGATAGGGTCTCTGGAACTATTTGCCCAGGCTGAGTTTGCACTGCGATCTTTCTGATCTCTGGCTCTTGAGTAGCTAGGATTACAGGTGTGAGCCACCGGCGCCTGGCCTAGAATGATTTCATTTTACAGAGATTTATCCACTAAGACGAACTGCAGCTATTTCTATGTCAAAGAACACTTACCTGGCTTTCCCCTCATGGTTTAAGGGAATTGGAGTTAGTTCGTAACTCTATAACCAGTTGAACATGAAGATATATTTTTATTAGTGTGGGAATGTGATGTGGAGAAAGCAGGACAATTCCAAATTATGTATTTGTTCTTGAACATTAATCTTTAAGGTTTACAGTTAAGAGTTTTGGTGAGGGGAGTTAGTTTCATTTTTAAAAACTTGACTGTTTAAAAGCGCTGATCTTTTTACACACTGTGTAGTTAAGGTCTGGTGGGACACAAGTGAAGTAAGCACTGTTGTAGTTCCTGTTTACAAATACTGTGGGGGAGACCAGTCTAGTTCAAGTCAGATTTTTCTGCATTTTCTTTTGAAGTTCACTTAGTAATTAACCATCAGCTGATTGTCAGTAGAAACGTCCTTGTCTTCAATCTTGGTAGTCTTTCACAATATTTGGTTGAGCAACTCGGATTCCGCTGAATCTGGAAAAACTTGTCTAGACTTCAGCCTTACTGAATCCATTGTTCTAAAGACTTTTGGTGAGACTGGACTATAGTATAGTTGAGAGAGTAGAAATGTCTTCAACTTTTTGAAAACCTTTATGAAAATGATCACTTATCCTTTCAGTTGATAACTTTTAGAGCTGATATGCTGCGTGATGTAAGGAATTAAATTTTAGTCCAGTAAATTAGTTTGGCAGAGAAAGTTTAAACCTAAATGTGGTTGAAGAGGTGAAGGTTTTTAATTAAATGCATAATTAATATAATTAATGTGTGTATTCCTTCCCCTTTTATAGTATTTATCATATATTGCCAATACATTTATACTAGGTATTGGAGTTGTTAAAATTCGTATGAGGCTAATTAGTGATAATGAATCTTATCAGGTTATTTTAGGAATTCTAATGGTGTTCAATGTAGAGATGCTTTTATTTAATATATAAATGCCATCTAGGTAGCTATGATCATAAAATGCTGAAGTGGGAGTACTTTTAACCTAAGGTACTTGTTAGGGACAACATACAAAGGCTATTACAAATTCCTTTTTTGAATTATAGGATGTATGTAATCTTATAGTTCTTCACATTTTAAAAAAACAATTAAGGGGATGTGGCTATAGCTTAGTGGTAGTGTACTTAGCACATATAAGGTCTTGGGTTAGATCCCCAGCATCATCAAAGGAAAAAAAAAGCAATATTGTCATTTTAATGAGAGAAGCTATTTTGAGTCCTTGAAGAAAAGTTCATGAAGTTTTGTTTTTTAAATCATAGCCAGTAAATTCTTATGTTGCTTGCTTCCTTCCTCCCTCCTTCCCTCCCTTCCGTTTATTTAGTGAGCCTCCCTGCTTTGTTTTCTCATTGGTTTATGAGTAGAGGCAGCTTTCCTTATTGTGTCACTTCTCAGCATCTGTTTGGCAGTACTATTCTTATAGAACCCAGTCTTCTCTTGCTGTTTAAGATATCCTTTAACAGGTTGCTAGTCTTGGTTCTGGTGATCTTATCCATGTTTAATTGAGATAACTTTTTTTTGGGTGGGACTGGAGTTTGAACTCACGGCTTCTTAAGCACTCTGTCACTTGAGCCACACCTCGAGTCCATTCTGCTCTGGTTATTTTGGAGATGGGGGTCTTGAACTCTTTGTCCCAACTTGCCTCTCCATCTGTGATCCTCCCAATCTCAGCCTCCCAAGTAGCTAGGATTATGGATGTGAGCCACTTGCACCAGCAAGCGATAACTTTTTGTATTGTATAAAGCATTCATGGATATTGAGTTATTTTCAGATGAGTGCTGGATTTTTTAAAAACATTAGAATTAATTGGTTACATTAGGGAAAAAAGTTCCCTTCTTACCTATCTTTATTATAGCATAAAGATTTGAAGTTGGTGAGATAGTGCACTTAATTATTAGTTAAAAGTGGAGGTCAAAAGATAAGAAATCAAAACATCAGAGTGCTAGAGTTTTTGTGGGAGGTGGAGCACTCACATGTGCCCTTTGATTTTTAAAGTACAATTGGCTCCTGAATTAGCAATTGATATGGTGGTGCCTACGAAGTAGCTGTTTTCAGTCTTTTGGTTTTCCCCCTCTTCCCTGTTTACACCTCAAGTTAGTATTTTATACCTCAGTGCTTATGTGGGGCAGAAGTGACTGAAGGCAGATTTCTTCAGCAGATTGTCTGGCCTCTTGTACTAGGGAGCAACTGTGAATGTAACCTATTAATGGGTGGACTGTATGAGTTAGAAGTAACCACTCTCCTCCATGGAGCTCCTGATGCCTGGATGATTTCTTGCTGAATCAGCTAATGGAGGAAGCTGGAAAGATAGACATTTGATAATGTGTTTTCTCCATGATTGTCCAGAGGCCAGCTTATATCCGTTTCTGTGACAAGGAATGCATAATGGACTCTTCTTTTCCTCTGGCCAGAGTTCAGTGAGCTCTCACAGTTTTTATACCCTCTCTGCCTGCACCTCCAAATCCCAGTCTTCTGAGTAAGGCCTGGTCTTATTCCCCGGACTTAGTCTTGCATGTTTGATTTTTGATTCCTGGTGTCTAAGTCAGTCAGCTGTTTTTCAATAGGTAAGAAGCATTAGTAGTCAACAGTAGAAATAAATATGTTTCTTGAAATGCCAATAAAATTTTTTACAGTGGAAAAAATGTTCAGCTTAGATTCTATAAACCTGTGAACTCATTTTGATCTTTAAATTCACAAGGAAAATGTTTTAAAACAACTTGTCTTAATTGTCTGTTTCCTCCATGCTTTTGAAATTCTTAAAAGTGTAATACCACCTTGGGTGTAAATGTTAGTTAGTAGATAAAAACTGCCTCCTATAGACGTTTTGGGAAGTTAATTGATCTAGTCAAATTTTGGGCTGTCTTTTAAAAAGATTGATGATAAGTGAAAGTGTATGCCCTTCTTGACATTTACTAACAATATGTCAGTTATTAGTCAGCTTCCTAGGGCCCCTGTTTATCCTTAATGAAGTGGGGCTTTTGGGGTGAGCTTTATGCTAGTCTGATAAGTGAAGCTGTTGATGGTCTTCATAGTTTCTATATCTGAGCAGCAAAGTTTATAAGTGTGATACCTCACATTTTAAACATGTTTCACCTTGCTTAGCTTTCAGCCCTTACTTTATACCCAGTCTTTGATGAAACTAAGTAGAACATATTCATTCTCTTCCTCCCCACCCACTAACACCCTTTATTTTCATGTCTAATACATTTTAACATCATAAGTTGTTCGTTTATTTTAGGACCTATCTTTCAGGTTATTATCTTCTAAGGTAGCAAGGTAATTATTGCCTTGTCATCAGTTGTCTAATGCACCTATGATTAAAATTGTAGTTTTTAAGGGCTGAGGATGTAGCTCAGTATAGAGCACTTCCCTTGCATGTGCAAGGCCCAGGTTTGATCCTGGCATTGAAGAAAAAAAGTGCAGCTATGCTAAGCAGATAATGTGTGGAAGTCATTATGTATGTAGAAATAGGTTAAAAAGAATAAACTGATTTTATGATGGGTAACAGGTCAAGAGCATGGACTATTCAACCCCTTACCCCAGCCCTTTTTAAAAATCACATACCCTATTGTTTTTGCTTTATTTATTCTGAGGCCAGACTTCATTCTGTTGACAGCAAACTACTGTTCTGATGGTAGTCTGAATGCTCTTGCCTCATTTATCTAACATTAATTTCTTTGTCTTTTCAGTTGTTCTTATTGGAGATTCTGGTGTTGGAAAGAGTAATCTCCTGTCTCGGTTTACTCGAAATGAGTTTAATCTGGAAAGCAAGAGCACCATTGGAGTAGAGTTTGCAACAAGAAGCATCCAGGTTGATGGGAAAACAATAAAGGCACAGATATGGGACACGGCAGGGCAAGAGCGATACCGAGCTATAACATCAGCGTAAGTTTCTTTCTTTTTTTTTTTTAAAGGATATTCTTTTATTTATTTAATTTTGAGGCAGAGACTCAACTGTCTCATTATGTAGCCCAGGCTGGCCTTGAACTCATAATCCTCCTGCCTCAGCCTCCCAAATGCTAGGGATTACAGGTATGTACCACCATGCTCAGCTTGGTCTTGTAGTTTTTAAGCTTTGTGAAGTAGGTTATTATCAAGTGAATTAGCTGACTTTTGGTATTGGAAAAGGTCCAGTAGTCCCTCCTTAACCTCAGGGAATATAATTCAAGTGGATGCTGCAACCACAACAGTACTGAATCGTGTATCTTTTCATTTAATGGAAACACTTTGTGGCTTCTCTTTGGCATATTCTAGTTGCTAGCATTACTACTTCTGCTTTTTGGGACCATTATTGAAAAAGGGTTAATTGAGCATAAGCACTGTGATACCATGATAATTGATTTGATAACCAAGAAGGCTACTTAAGTGATTAATGGCCAGGTAGTTCATACAGTGTGGATACCCTGGGCAAAGGGATGAATCACATCCCGGCCTGGATGGAAGGGGGGATCTATTAGAGGTTTTGTTACACTTCCTAGGATGGCACCAATTTAAAACTTACAAATTATTTATTTCTGGAATTTTCCATTCAATATTTTTGGATTATGGTTGACTGCAGATAACTGAGACTGTAAAAAACAAAAAGACATATAAGGGGGGGCCTACTGTACTTTTTTTTTTTCCTTTTAAGAATTCTAGTATTAGGAATTGATAGAAATTCATTTATTAAGCATGTTTTTAAAAATACATAATCCATGTGTTGAGTTCTTCCTGGTGTCACATCCATGTTGTCATTTTCTGATAGTTGAATGTGTTTCTGTTTTCAGATACTATCGTGGAGCTGTAGGTGCCTTATTGGTTTATGACATTGCTAAACATCTCACATACGAAAATGTAGAGCGATGGCTGAAAGAACTGAGAGATCATGCTGATAGTAACATTGTTATCATGCTTGTGGGCAATAAGAGTGATTTACGTCATCTCAGAGCAGTTCCTACAGATGAAGCAAGAGCTTTTGCAGGTTGGTAGTATTAATCCCACAATATTACTGCTTTTCTTACTGTTACGTCTTAACAATTTTGATGCCCTGCTAATGAGAGTAATAGGTTAGAATCGTTTCAGAAAAGTAAACATGAACATTCAGAAGAATTGTTTTGAGTTTGTGATGACTCTCTTTTGCTTAATTTTGAGTTATTTTGAAACACTAGTGTTTTGAGTTTTTGCTGTCAAAAACTGAACATAAGCACTGTCTTCTTTTTTCTTCCTTGAAGGAGTAGGTGAAATCCATCAGTTTATTCTGTGTTCCTGTGTCTTTTTCCATTATGCCTCTATACCATAGCGAGGTTGCTTATACGAGTCTAAAAGTTAGTGTCCCAAGGAGTGGCAGTGACCAACAGGGATGTATAACTGCATAGGAGCCGTAAGTTTTTGACTTCATAGAAGATCTATCTTTTGTTCCTGTTTGGTAGGAGCAACTATCAGAAAGCAACATTGTGCATTCTTGGCTAGTAAGTCATGGCCTTGCCCTAGTGATTATTGTGAATACTTTTCTGTGACATTTTTAGTGTCCCAGGCAAGAAGGCTTTATATCAGATATTATAGTTACATAATTCTAAGTGCATACCATAGCTATGTGGTTGATAAGAGACGATAGTAAAAGATGGAAATAGATGGGTGTTTGATAAGTTTATTACATTTCGAATAGTGTTATTTATTGCTAGTGGTAGTATTTGGTGCAGCAGGTATTTAGTTTAATTAAAAAGCCAATGAAAATGTGTCACTGCTAAAGCATGAATAGACTGTTGCTTTCACTGTTCCGGAAATTGGGCAAGTCTTGATATTTTTGATGGGGTGGGAGGGGGGAGCGGATTGAAACAGAGTCTCACTGTGTATTTAGGCTGGTCTGGTATTTGCTATACCCTCAGCCACCCTTGAACTTGAGATCTTCTTACCTCAGCCTTCCACGTGCTGGGATTACACATATGGACCACCAGGCATGGTGGTCCTGAGTTTTTAAGAAGTTCTGTTATTTTCACTTTTGTGATCTTGGCTGTATCACATCTCTTGCTTTAAAACTTGACAATGGCTGGGTATGTTTTCAGTGGTAAGAGCGCCTGCTTTGCTCTGGGTAAGATTATTGGCTCCCTGCTGGATGGAGATACTGGGCTGGGATGTAGCTCCGTGGTAGAGTACTTGCCTAGCATGTCCAAGGTCCTGGGTTTGATTTTCTAACACTAGAAAAACAAAAACAAAACAAAAGTTAAGGCTGAAGTTTTTGTGTCTCCCCACAGAAAAGAATGGTTTGTCATTCATTGAGACGTCTGCTCTAGACTCTACCAATGTAGAAGCTGCTTTTCAGACAATTCTAACAGGTAAGATTTACATGTTCAGGTTATGACAGTGGGAATCAGTAAGAACTGGATTTTTATAAGTAATATAAACAAAATAATCAGAAAACATACTTACCATCTGAGAGTGATTATAATTTGAGAGCTACTATAGCAAGAGCAGTTTAGAATGCAAAATTAGTTACAAGTCTTGCCCAGTGAGCTTCAGTCATCCTACTTCACCTGCCTTATAGTGGGAAAATCTTTGAAAGTAGTTCATTCACCTGCATTGTTCAAGCCATGTATTCCATACTTCATGGTCACAAGCACAAACATGTTTAAATACACTTTCTTCTTTTTTTCAATGTATTTTCTTAGGGTAAATATTGAGACCCTAGCTATAGAAAGATTTAAATGCACCTTTGAAATTAGATAAGGAAAAAAAATGAGGCAAATACATTAAGGAATTTAAGTGAAAAAAAAGTAAAATTCTCTTATGATACAGAAGACGCAAGGTGTCACTTGTAGGTAAAATCAGTCTGTGATTGCATATAGAAGAGTTTAAGTAAGTAGTGGGAAAGGGACAAAGTTCGTAAATTCATGCTGTTTTGGAATGTGGATGACCAGGTCAGCCTCCTGGATAAGAAGGTATTTTATTTGTGCTGGCTCATATTTACCCTGACTTTATTAGAATGACCAAATTATCAGTAAATTTAATGTTAATCCTTTAATAAATACTTTGATGAATTGTTTTTAAGTACTTCTAAATTATACATTACTTTAAAGAACTTCCAAGCTACAGTCAACATATAGCACAGTCAGATGTGGCATTTTGAAAAATCTGTATGTAGAATTGTTTAAATTAGTTTCCAGTTATAATTAATAAGTTTTAATTTAGTTTTTGTATGTAGCACTTGCATTAGAGGTGAACAGATTTTTAACTTTAAAGTATTACCTTATTTTACTGTAAAAGTGTAAGGAGTAAAGTCTAGGAATTAAGAGCATGTTTTTGGAAGTCTGACTTGGGTTCTGGTCCTGGCCCTTCCACTTATTATTAGCGCTGGAACCCTGGGCACGTGACTTGCCCCATTGAGGTTTTAATTTCTTTGGCTGTAAAGTTCAGATATGTTTTGGGGAGTTAATTTTCCTTTTTTGAGAGAAGGCTTGTGTTTTTAAAACCTTGTGATATGCCTTGATGTGGTATGATTAGCATGTTGTGTTGCTATTTAAAGGGCTTTTTTTTTCTTCTTTTTTCCTGTTGCTAACCCATAGAAAAGAGTGGTCTGTCACTGAGTCATTTGCTCTGGACTCCAAAAATAAGTATGGGTTAGCGCCTGTGAAGCACTTCGCTAGTCCTACATAGGGAACATTTTATATTAGTGCTAAATAGCAATTAAGGCATAAACAAAAACTTGTTAAAATAAATTGATAAGTAGTATACTATTTTATTGGAATTGTTTTTTTCTGTTATCACAAGAATAGTAACTAAAAATCTTGTGCAGAGGTCAAATAAAGAGTTTTTGTAACATGATAGCTTTTCCTTAGTATCTTTACTGTGTAAATTGTAGATTGTTTTAAGCAAGCAAGATTTGATTTAATATGCAGTATGTCTGCAAGTCCTACTTGTTTGTTTTTTTTTTTTTTGGCAGCACTGGGGCTTGAATTCAGGACCTCACGCTTGGTAGGCTGGCACTCTTATCACTTGAGCCACTCTGCTGCCAGCCTTGTTTTGTGATTTTTTTTTTCCAGTGGATGGTATCATGAATTATTTGCCTGGGGCTGGCTTTGAACTTTGATTCTCCCAATCTCTGCCTGCTGAGTAGTTAGGATTACAGGTGTGAGCCACTGGTGCTCTGCCCCTACTTTCTTTCTTTGTAACCACTTTACATAGATTCTGTTGAGTCAATGTGTAGATTGCTAGATTAAACCTAAGAGTTTTAGGATTTTAGTTTTTGCTTTTTTGCTCCCACTCCCTGTGTCACTAAAGTCACTATACCTCCCTGGTCCTCAGATTTATAGTGTTTTAAAACTCATGAGTTAAATTACCTTAAAGGTCTATGAGTCATTTTAAGGCCTCTGAAAACTTCACCTGAAAAACTTTTTAGAATTGGGCATGGTGGTGCACATTTTGTTATCCCAGCTGCTTAGGCAGGAGGATGTAGAGTTTGAGGCTATCCTGGGCAAAGGTTCCAAGATCCTGTCTCAAAAACAAAGTAAAAGGGAAAGGTCTGGGGTATAGCTCAATAGGCAGAATATTTGCTTAGCATTCAAGGGACTCGGGGTTCAATCCCCAATACTAAAAAAAAAAAAAAAACCCAACAAACCTTTTTGGGCAGTTCTCATTGTTGGGATATTTTCTATGTCCCAACCAAATCTCCTCTGCTATAATTCTAGTCCGTTTATTCTGATCTTAATCTCTAATCTATATATTCTGATGCCTAACCAAGTGTTTTCTTCCATCTCCAGTGCATGTATCATTTTCACACCAAACTTTTGATCTACTCAAGCATGAACCCTAATCAGTTAGCAGCAGTACATACTTAAATTTGAGCTGTTTTATCCTTAAAGATGAAGAACATCATCTGGCTATTTTTCTTAAATTCATTCTAGATTAGATTTTTGTTACTGCTTGAAAGCATAGACTTAAGTTTTGCTTACTACCACTTTTCTTTATTCAGTATCTCCTAAGCTTCCTCCATAAATCTCAGTGTTATAGAGGTCTTGCATATGGCAGCAGACATCTTTGTTGTTTTGCAAATGTTAGGATGTTTGCTCTAAACTTTTCTTCCTCTTACATGCCAGTGTGGGAGTATTAATGCATAGAAAAAAAAAACAGGAAAAAGTATAGTAATCTCATTAGGGTTGATTCTACCTTGATTTAACAGTATTAAGGAACATCTTTATTGTATTTTGATGTTGCTGGAAGAAAAAATAAGCCTTTTATTTTTAACATGCAAAATTATGTAGTATTGGAAAAATTTATCTGCTACTTTTAAGAATTAGTGTGATGATTCTGTGGCACTTTTTAGAGGTTGTTAGCTACTAACAAATGAGCCTGGTAGATCACTCAACCTCTGTATTTCAGCACAGCTTTATTTTCTTTCCACCTCAGGTTCACTGAGAGGTTTTTTTTTTTTTTTTTTTTTTTTTTTTGGTGTGGTGCTAGGGATCAAACCCAGCATGCCTGGTCACTGCTCTGTCAACTGAGCAAATCCTCAGCCCTAAGAGATGTTTTTGATCCATATTTGCCATATTCTTTTATTTTTTTCTTTTAACTTAGTAGTTTAACAATTACAGACTTAATGAAAGCTTGTAATAATAGTGTGAAGAATTTGTGAATATTTGATACCCATGTTTTGCAAATGTTAGTATTTTACCACATTTATTTTATCCTCTTTCTCCCTATATATGTATATACATAATTTATTTTTCCTGAAATGCCCCTTTTTTCTTAAGTACTTTTCAGGGTGTATTTCCTAAAAATAAGGACATTCTCTTTCATAACCGTAGTACAGTGATCAAAATGAGACAATAATCAATGTTTAGCTACAGACCTTTATCAATTTTTGCCATTTGTTCCAATCATGTCCTTATTAGCAAAACAAAGTCTGACTCAGATCATGTGTTTGATTCTGCTGTCCTGTCTGTTTATTAGTGTCTTCTAATCTGGACTACTTCCTTTCCATTTTTCTTTTTATTGACCTTAACCTTTTTGAAGGGTTATTTTGTAATGTTTCTCATTTTGGGTTTACCTCATGTTTCTTCATGATTAAATTCATCTTAAACCCTTTTGGCAGGAATGCCACAAAAGTGGTTTCAGTTTACTATGTCAGGAGAATCCTAATAACTGGTTGGTCTTATTCATTATTGGTGGTGTTAATGCTGATTGCAAGGTGATGTCAGTGAGGTTTCTCCATGTAATTAGTAAGTCCAAGGTAACTTTTTAGTATGAAGAGTTAAATTCTTAATTCTGTGGCTGAAGTAAATTTAATTCACTTAGCATTTTGGCTCTTTAAAAAGGTGTTAACTTCATTACAGTAGTGAAAATCTTAATTAGGGGTAGTAATAGCTTTGTTCTTATAATTTGGCACTCTTTTAAATACATGAGAGTATATCAAATTGGAATTTTTTTTATCTTCAAGAAACTTACATGATAAACAGTGGGTTAAATGGGATCAACAAATTAAAAGCTTCTGTCTAGGCTATAGTGGAATAACTCAGGTTTTGTTGTTTTCACAATTTGAGTAGGGACTAAAGAGTTTTAATTTCTCTTATTTGCTAATGTGGAACAGTTACATTTAATCTCTTTAGAATTACTTTGCCACTTGATCTACACTTCCATTACAGTAGAAATAGGCATATATCCTTTTTCCTTAGCTTGTTATATATAAAACTATCTTACATTAATATTTTACTTCATATTTAGATCTCTACAAGGGATCCTGATAGAAGAATGATAAAGCAGATTCCTTTTCTTTCTAACCATCCCTAACCCTTGGAATCCTGGGAAGAACTCCATAGGAATTAATTTATCACATTCACTTGGCTCTTAAGGAGAACATGCCCTTGAAAGAGTGAGCAGGACTTACATCTCTTAGCAAGTTAATAGTCTCACCTTTTCCCCTACTGAAATAACCTTCTCTAATCAGGTACCAGCTACAAGGTACCTCTTTTCTATTTTCTTTTTTTTTTTAATTGTTTGATTATTCATATGTGCATACAATGCTTGGGTCATTTCTCCCCCCTGCCCCCACCCCCTCCCTTACCACCCACTCTGCCCCCTCCCTCTCCCCCCAACCCCCTCAATACCTGGCAGAAACTATTTTGCCCTTATCTCTAATTTTGTTGAAGAGAGAGTATAAGCAATAATAGGAAGGAACAAATGTTTTTGCTAGTTAAGATAAGGATAGCTATACAGGGAGTTGACTCACATTAATTTCTATTTTCTTATCAAAGGTTTTTTGTTTTTTTCTTTAATGACATACCTAGCCATAAGAGACTTAATAGGTGTGGTGTCTCTTAATGCTGTTTATAGCCGAAAGAAAAAAATTCCCCTAATTTTCTTACTAACATTTTCCCTCTTTATTGGCTTGTTGGCCGTTTTTATGAGCAGACATCTTTTTGGTAACTAGAGTAAATGCAGCAGCAGTTCATTTCTAAAAACGCACAGTGCTTATGGGGTCACACAACAGTGCTCAACTTTCTTGCTTTGTAATGCGATCTCTTTAATTATTTACTTCTCTCTGTTCTCTGAGTCTGCCTTTGCCTCCCTTCCAGGGTTATGGATATTTGCTTTTCCATGTGAGAACTTGGATTTTCTTTTTGTTCCCTTAACTTAATCTTCAATTTGTAAAGAAGTCAAAACCAGCGGGGTGACATATTTAATCATTTGCCCTTGAATAAGATGCCCCAGCTTGGTATTAGAGAGGAAACATAAAGAATGGTGTGGTTTAGCCACAAGTTGATGATTATCCTTCCTTAGCCACTAGCCCGATTGACTGAGTAGACTGACTGACTGATGGTCAATTTTCTTTGCTCTTAACATACTCCGTATCCTTTGTGTGTATGTTTTCGTTTTAAGTTTTAATCAATAGCTTGTCATTATTTTAATTTTTTTTGTAATTAAGTTTCATTTTTTACTGCTATAACTTCATATTTGAACTACTGCCAACCTTCTCATACATAAAGTTTAGCTTTCCCTTCCGCCAAAAAGTATGAGAAAAGATACATTTTGGTGAGTGAGTGTTTTTGTTAGTTTAGGTATTAAGTTGACTACAACAACTTGCTTTTGTTGGACTTTAAAGAAATTAGTTGTTAATTTGAAGAGACTGCAGTAGGTCAGTTAACATATTTCTTTCTCTGTGCTTTTTGTTATATAAAGTTTCTAACATACCAAAAGTAGAATAGTATCATGAACACTCTTGTAGTCATCAATAACCATTGACTCCCTCCCCCATCATTTGAAGTAAATCCCAGATAATACATTATGTCATTTGTGAACATTTCCAGATCTAAAAAATTAGTACTTAAACTCATAACAAGACCACAAAAACTTGGCAGCAATTCTTATTACTATCTGTTACCTGAGCAATATTAAAATTTCCTGACTCAAGTTTTTTAAAATTATATTTCCAGTTAGAATCCAAATTATGTTCATACATTGCAATTGGTTGGTATGTTCTTGGAGCATTTTGAAAATGTTTCTATTTTCTGTTTTTTAGAAGTTTCAGATACAATGAAATAATAGAGTGAACATCCAGATACCCTTCATCTGGAATCATCAGTTGTTCATATCGTTCATATTACTCTTATTTTGTCAAGCTATTAGACTCTCATCCCCAACCCCTTTCAGGTTTTAGAAAGTAAATTACAGACATTATGGCACTTCGTTACTAAATATTGAGGCATTTTGTAAGAACAAGGCATTCTCCTACATAATCACAACATTATATGTCATAGCTAAGAAATTTAACATTTATATGGTATTATCTAATGTGCAGTCCATATTCAGATTTCTCTAAGTGTATTAATAATGTCCTTCATAGATTTACTTTTGAATTTTTAAATTTAGCAGTCAAGGATCACACATTGCATTGATGGAATATTTTATATCTGGGGTATCAAATAGAATTGCTGCTAGCCTCTGGTTGCTGTTTGGCACTCGAAATATGACTCATGGATGAGGAACTGGATTTTAATTTAAGTAGATGTCTACTATATTGGATAGCACAGGTTTAAAATATTTGTCCTTGTTTCAGTCTGGATTTATCTAATTGTTTCCTCATGATTAAATTAATTTTAAACATTTTTGGCTGGAGTACATGGGTGTCCTGCATAGGAATACATTGTGTCCTTCCTAGGAGGCTTATCATATCAAATTTTCCCATTTTTAGAATTTCTTTGTCTTTTGAAGATTTTTTTTTTTTTGGAATGAATACTGGGAGAACAAGGATAAATAAGATATATTCTCTGTTCTTAAGAAGTTTATAATCTACTTTTAGACCAAATAAAATGTGTTACATATAGATACTGCAGAGACGTTTAATAACATTTATCCATGCAGTTAGTTATCAAACGTCTACTGTGCACTCTATGCTGGAGATGCAGAAGTGAATAGGTAGACACTTTCAGTCTTTATAAAGCTTGGTGTTTAGTGGAGGAGGCAAACACTAAAAAACTAGTCTTGATAAGTGTCATGAAAGTAAAATACAATGTGCATGTAAAATCTTCAGTTACCTATAATTACAACTTAACTTTAGTTCAGGAGATTGCTGATAAATGCATTAGAGTCTTCCTTTTCCAAGAGTCTTGGGATTTTAGGATGTTTATGAAGTTATGTTCTTCCCTACATAGCCTTAGAAAAATACATGATGTATCTGTATTTGATAGTGCAGATTTATTTATTTAGTGTTTGCACAGTTCCAATGTATGTGAACTTTATTTTTGGTAAGTAAATACTTTTATGACTTAATTCAGATTTTTGTCTCTAAACTATGTAATGCTCTGTAAACCAAGATTTGTTTAATTAACTGGTGAGCCTTTCCCAGTCAATTAAAATGGAAAAACCTTTGTTTTGCTTCTTACCATAAGGGAAATTGTTAAAATAGTAGTTTGATTCTAATCAGTGGTTATTTGAAAATAAAACTTTTTATATATTCTGTTATGTGTATCTTCTGTCTTGATAAAGATCAAGAACATACCAACTCTTTAGGGTTATTTCATACTAAGTACTTCTGTTTCCTTTTTTTCATTTAGAAATATATCGCATTGTTTCTCAGAAGCAAATGTCAGACAGACGTGAAAATGACATGTCTCCAAGCAACAACGTGGTTCCTATTCATGTTCCACCAACCACTGAAAACAAGCCAAAGGTGCAGTGCTGTCAGAATATCTAAGGCGTTTCTCTTCTCCCCTAGAAGGCTGTGTATAGTTCATTTCCCAGGTCTGAGATTGAAATATATTTGTAATTCTTGTGGTCACTTTTGTGTTTTATTACTTCCTCATCCTTACGGATTTTTCCATGTCTTGAGTCTTTGGATTTTAGGTTTATAAAATCACCCACTTTGTCCCGAATGACTGCAGCTTTTTTTCATGCTTTGGCTTCACTAGCCTTAGTTTAATAAACTGAATGTTTGAATTCCTCAATTACTGTTTACTTTTCATCATGGAAGCCTGTCACTGTAGGACATAATAGAATTTAATCACTTGAAGTTCAGACTTACTGGTCTTAATCAAATCAAACTAAGAAGACCTTAGAAATAAGCTATTATTTTGCCACAGAGCAGCTTATAAGTAATACACTTTTCTCAGTGCATTGTAGATTTCAACAAATCTAAGATTTACCCTGTAAACATAGCAGGATTTTGAGAGCTTGAAAATTTTCCATTATTCTGAAGTCAATTTCTAAAATGCCTTAATAGGTTTATGTAGTTTAGTAAATTTTGTTTAATTTTTGTAAACATCAAAATTGAATAAAGAAGGGGGCATTTTTTTTTGGACAAGAATTAGCTTAACAAACACAAAAGACTGTTCCGGTTTTGGAAGGGGTGTGGTTATGGGGCCATAAGTTAAACAATGCTGCCTGGCAGGCTGGGAACTGAGAGACTGATAGATTCCTTCTTGAGGTGCCTCTGTTGCAATGTCAGTAGCCCAAGTCATTTAACTGACCTAATTTCTCAGCAGTAGATTATGTGGCATTTACTGCTCTTTTACAATAACTGATTCAATGCTCATGATACCAAATTTGAAGTGTTAATTTTGTTTTAAAACCATCCAGTAAGTGAAATGCAACCTAGTTTGATCACATCTCTACCCTACCAGCAGGCATGGGTAATTATTTTAACAATGCTTATGTTTAAGTTTTGCAGTGCATAATGGAAAATAGTCTAGTTGAATCTTTGGTTTTAGAATGTCTAAAGAATACAGTGAGAGGTTAATTTATGCTAAAGTGGTACCAGTTAAAGGCATGTATTCTTTTAGTAAGTAAAATGAAATAGTACCTTGAGTTTAAATAGAATGCATTTAGGCATTGTAGAGACCTGAAGTAATTTTTTTCCACTACATAATTGAAATCAGTGGAGTAACTAGTTTCTGATTCAGAAATGTGCACACTAATATTTAGTTTTACTTCCTTGTGGGTAATATTAAGCACTTTCTCTGCAGTTTTCTGAAAGTTGTCAACTGCAGAGATACTATTCAGGATGATGGGATAATGGAAAAATGTGTGTGTGTGGGCTTGCATAGATTACTATGTTTCATAGTTAATCCTCTGTCTTTTGCTGTGCGGTGCTCATGATGTGTGGGGTGCACGGAAGGCATTGCTGTAGTCAGTCATTTTGGTTTTCTTTTGTAGCTGTTTTATTATTTTAGTGTATTGGTTATAAAGATACTATTGTTTGTCTATTTGTAAATTACCACTTTGTATTTTATGCATGCTCTGTAACTTGATTTCTTTTTTTTTTTTTTTAAGTTACTGATTTGAAATATATTCTCATTCTAATAAACAGTTATAGGGGGACTATTCCTTATGTTGTCAGATTATGTTTTTCCTTTGAGTGCTTTGGGTGCAGTCATGGAATACTTGATTCTGATGAGTAAGAACATAGGTCCTTGCATTATTGAGCAAACATTGATTTGGGGACATAAGTGTGAATTCAGGTTTGGTTTTGGATCTGCAGTTCAATTATGCTTTTCTTGGGAAAAGTATAGCCAGCAATATTAGTGAAGTGTATGTGTACCAGCATATATAAGTCTCAAGTCTCACCAGACATAGAAAAAAGCTCCATCTCTACTTTATTAAAAATTGATAGCTTTTTTTTTTTTTACAAAATTGCTTAAAAAAAAAAAAGAGAAAGAAGATAGGGAATTGAAAATGAGCAGAGTAAGTTTGAATTTTACCAAGTATAGACTTAAATGTTGCTTAGGCATAATTGAATCTTGGGAGAATTCCAAGCAACATTAGGTAGTAGAAAGATGACTTCGATTGCATTTCAACAAGAGTCTTCCTGAGTGGTATCTCAGGAAACCAGTTGGCTCAAATAAGAAACACTTTTTTAAATATGACAGTTTAAGACTCAAGGTGATTTAGAAGTATTTTGTGGTTTGCCTCTGCTTTTCACTTATTTTAACTTAGCTTTTCAAAAACCTGTTACATTCTAAAAAGTTGGTTAACTGTTGCACCTTGATTTAAATTTGTATGTCCTTATTCTCACAGTGCTCTCTGTGATTTTTCTTTAACAGTAGTTGTCATCACTATGTAAGGGCAAGTTTTCATTAGCCATTGCATTGAATATGCTAAATTGTAATTCTAAGAAGAGGTGCCAGCCAGTGACTTTTTGCCATAGTTGTTTAAAGTTCTCAAGGGTTCTGCAAAAAAGTTACACTTCTTAAGAGTTTGAATTGTTCATCAGAGCTAGTCCTTTCTTTCATCATTGTGAAAATAATACCATCTTAGTTTTTTGTCTTTGCTGACTTGTATTTATAAAATACAAATGCTCTTAGTGGTTTGAGTTATTGTGATAATCTCTTTCATCCACCTTAAAGATAAAAAGCTGTACTGTTTAGACATTTTGGCCAACACCAGAAGCAGAACTCAAAGGCTGGGCATATGATAAGAGTATATTCCTGTCTATTACACTTAACTTATAGAGCCTTTAAAATTGTTTTGATAGGGGAGGAAAATGATTACCGGATATCTCACACATATCACAAGCATACAAAATTCAAAACATTGTGAATTTTGTTTAGGATTGTATATGACCTCCATTTGCTGTTTTAAAAAAAATGAAAAGGACTAAAAAGACCTCTTTACACCTCAACATCCAGTGGGTTAGCAGAACATCAGATAGGGTACACTGAAGCTAGTGTTCTAAGGCAAGAGACCTCACTTTTCCTCCTGTTTGGGGCAGTGCTGCTGCCACACCCCTTTTTAGGATTGGACCGGTCACCTTTCCTCCTCACCTTTACAAATGTCACATAAACCTGTGTTGTCATTATAATGTTTTAAGGAATGGTTATGTTCTCCCAAACTGTAGAGGCTGATGATGATGATCAGTGGTACAACAGGCTAAGGTCATCGCACCTTATGGATGGAGATCTTTAGGCTGTGAGAGAATTTTAACTGAGGGTAGCCATTTTCCTGAAAATTGAATTGGAGAAAATATTTGAAAGGATGTTGTATCCTAGGCATGTGTTAGAAAATATGCTAAGCCATATGTGAGTTAAAAGATTGAAAGTAGTGGGTACAGTATAGCCCTGGACTGGGTGACAAAGACAGGTTCTAGTTACAGCTCTTGTCATTTTACCTCTGAGCTCTCATTCTTCCAATTAAGTGATGGACTGGATTAGATTATGGCTGGGGTGTTGATCCCAACTTTTGATTCTGTAATTCTCTGAATGAGCCCTCTCCAAGTATCAAAGCCAAATTATAATTTCTAACTCAAATTTAAATTTAATAGATAAGTGAAAAGTCAGGTATATACTTGGCAAACTTTTCTGGTCTTACTATAATAACTTGATTAAAATGCTCTTTGTTGCCATGTTAACTCCATTAAATAAGATGAAAGTTTTCAGAACATTTGCAACACGACCATCAGTTTTAACAGTATGCATCAAAGTATTGTATGTACTGGGGGGGGGTGTGGAGCACTTGATGGGCTGCTGTATCAACTACAAATTGAGAACTGCTTGTTTTATGGGTTTTGCTGTTTAAAAAAATTTTGCTGGCTTTTAATATGTACTTTAAAATATATTGTATCTGGACAGAACTTTTAAAAACATTTTGTGTTTAATTTTTTTTACATCTCTTTAGTAGGAATCAACAAGAAGGTATTAATCCACAGAGCTAGCTATCCAATAGAATTAGTGATTAAACACAAATATATATAATGCACACACAATGTAAATGGCAGCTTTAATTTTGGTTATTAATGTGATCTAATTATTAATATTGTAATTGTTGTTTGAATTCAGTTTTAATACAGAATTGATAGCTCTTGACAGATGCGAATATAAAATGTCATATATATTAGCTGTTTGACCAGTACCAACCATGGTAGTGAAATTAGTAGCCAACTGACTCCTACGTTTGAATTAGTGGAACTGAACCTTGCCTCAAACCACAGAATCTCAGATCCTATTACCCCCATCTCACTGAGTAAATGCATTGCTTTTATGTGAATTCCCTTCCTGACAACATACAATATATGCTCTCAATATATATTTTCTCAGGTATCTCTAGGCAAGTGGTGTGGTCCCTTGTCATAAGAGGTTGCTGAACATAGTACTGGTCTTTATGCCAAAGCCTTTTGTCATGTAGGTCCAAGAATATTATAGGAGTGTATGCCTGAAACTGGACAGTCTGAGAATCCTCAGGAAGCAACACTTTTCTATAGGCTGTCTTTAATGTGAAATCAATTTTGGAGGAGGCAGATAGGATACTTAATTAACTAACTTGGGTTTACATTAAAATGGATACGCAAATAACATATCTCAGGTCCCCATGATTTCTCTCACCCCAAACTGTAGAAGACAATTTGCTAGATAGACCTAGGTAAATAGTGGTTTGGGAGGCAGAAGCCAGAATGAGGAGGGAGGGAATCTGACAACTGAAGCTAAAACTCAGAGCTTCCACCTTCCATGGGTTTGCATTAGAACACTATTCAGAGTCTTTTTAGCTCTGCATGTCAGGAAAGAAAACATAGTCAACACCCACTAATCATCAGGGCCCTCCATTTATCTCTGTCCACTTAATAATTGCTAAGTCTAAGATCCACAAGGGTAGGGAATATGCTTTGCTCATATTGACATCCCTAATAATCTCTCTTCTCCCCATAATCAGAACAATAGGAAAGGCTAGGAGTGAGTGGTCTAATCCTAGGGTTCATTCCGGTATAGCTTGGAGAGTTACAGCCTGACAATTAATCAGTTAGTTAAAAATTTTTATTAAAAATTATGCAGAAGTATAATTAGGTTACATTCTATAAAATGTAATAAAATATTATACAATGTATGAATATAGTGTAATAAATTCCCACGTATCCATCAATCTGTCTTTTCTTAGAGTTTCTATCTCCTGGTGCCTCACTGATTAAATGGGCCTCTTCTGTCTTCCCTCTGATCATATGAATGACTAATAGAATGCACCATTCTTGAATTGCTTTTTGGAGTATACAGCCTGCAGTGAGTGTTGGTCAGTATTAAGTGATATTCTGAGAATTGTACACTGTACTCAGTAAATTTTTTTTTCAATATGGGGGTTTGAATTTAGGGCCTAACGCTTATTTGGAGTCCAGTACTCTATCATTTGAGACATGCATAGCCTTGTAATTCTTGATTATGTTTTGCCCTTCATCAAGATGTCAACCCACCAGTCCTTGAGAGTTATCTATTAGTATTTTTTTTTCCCAAGTAAAGAGTTTATTGAGATAGAAAAGTAGCAGAGTAAAGCCCTCAGAGCTGGGAGGAGTCCCAAGACAGGGTTGCCCAGTAATCTTTTCTAGCAAAAATGTGTTATTCTTGGTTAAACACTATAAAAAATTGAAATAATTTTTTATGTGTATGTGTGGTGCTAGGAATTGAACTCAGGGTTTCATGCATGCTAGGCAAGCACTCTACCACTGAATTGACATTATCAGCCCTTTTTCACTTTGAGGTCGGGGTCTTGCTAAGTTGCCACGGCTGATCTCAAACTTGTCGTTCTCCTGCCTCAGCCTCCCAGGTAGCTGGGATCATAGCCATGTGCTACCACACCTGGCCTAAAATTAACTTTTAAGTATCACATAAGTATTATGAACTGACAGGCTGGAAAGTTTTAGGTTGATTTAAATTTGAGGATTTTGTATATATCATTTGTAAGTGTGAAGGAGAAATTTAAAGTTCTGAGTAAGCTATTTTTTTAAGCATCTGTGTTTTATTATAAAATAATCCTGCTGCTTTTTTTCCCAGTTAGGTCAGAAGGTTTTATTTTAAAAGGTCCTAAAACAGATATACCAGTAACTGTCCTGGATTATAACTTCTACTAGAGAAAGTAATTGACTGAATTTATATAAATTAGGTAGTCCTTATACTTGCACTTACTTTATTCTGTAGACATGCCTTTGTGCCTCTTGAGCTGAGCACAAGCTGTAATAGTTGTCCTAAGCACAAATATTTGGGAAAGCTGAGAAACCCTCTAACATTGATGAGATTCAAAAAAAATTTTTTTTGGCGGAACTGGGATTTGAACTCAGGGTTTCACACTTGCAAAACAGGTGCTCTACTGCTTGAGCCACACCTCCAATCCATTTTGCTCTGGTTAGTATGGAGATAGGTTCTCTCTAACTCATTTTTGCCTGGCTGGATCTCCAACTATGATCCTCCTACTCTCAGCCTCCCAAGTAGGTAGGATTACAGTAATGAGCCATCGGTGTCCAGCTTTAAAAACTATGTTTAACACTGGAGGTAGAGTGCCTGCTTCACAAACCCAAAGCCCTGATGAGTTCAAACCTTCAGTCTCACCCAAAATAAGTATTTTTAACACAAGAGTATGTGGCTCTCATTCATTACTTTAAAGTTAGAGACTCTTCCGTTAAACCTAAACCATTTTCACGCATCTATTGGAGAATTTTTACTCTTCCAGCTACTAAAAAATGACCACACAAAATGTAGGTTAGTTCTACTCTTAAACCTAGACACATTTTCAGTTTTTAACACAGTAGTAGGCATTATTGTTAGTTTGAGAAATTCATTTTATTTTGTACAAGGTACAGTCTCTCTGTGCAGTGAACAAATATATTACAAATCTGTTGTTTAAAAAAGTATTGCCATTTCATAGTTTCTTATGCTATTGTACAGTAGTTGTGTTCTTTTGATTCATTTGAATTGTATGCATATTAGTTTATTTGATGGAAAACTTAGTTTCTGAAAAATAATTATACAGATCTTTCCAAATCATCAGTAATATGCACAGTGCACATGTTTAGGCTGACCATGAACCTATTTGTGACTGCTAAACTGAAGTTTCTAACGGTTGCTCTGGAAGATTGAAATGTCTTTTACCACTAACTCTTAGCTATGTGAAGGCAACTGTTGTCACCATAGATAAATTACATCCTCTGCCTTTCCCTTCCCCTCTTACCTCCTGGTTGGATTGTATTATATTAGTTCTAGAGCTGAAGGGTTCTTAGAGCTCCCTTCCCATTCTCTGCTTCTCTTCTTTTTTATGCATGGGGAATAAAGGAGCCCAAAGAGGGCAAGGATCTTGACAAGAATCACACTGATGTCTCTTGACTTAGCCATTCCACCTCTGGCTGGATACCTTTTCAAGAGGGTAGTTGGCAAAAGAAGTAAACTGTGAAACATGAATGATGCTGCTTGTTTGCAGTTTGCCAGGTAGCAGTTATGGTACATGCAGGATAAGGGAAGAAGCTAAAACCTGGGAGCGATGATGTTTCTCCTTGCTGATCTGACTTTGCCATGCTTCTCAAAGATAATTGAGCACTTGTGGCACTGAAATATTGAGGTAAGTCTCTTATCTAGATTTCTTTCTACATATGTATGAGAAGTATTTACTTGGGTCTATAAAGTAATTTTCTAGTATTTATATTTTAATAAGGCTTTTTTGGAAAGCAAATTTACTATTTCTGATCAGTTTCTCCCATGCACACATGCAGCATTCGTGTAAGTATTATATATTTTCTTCTAATGCTAAAATTTGCTTATGCATCAAGTTGAAGTGAGGGAGGGGGGACTTGCTCAATCATGTATTTTCTTGCTTTTGCTGATCATTGCCTAAATTAATGGGTTTCATGGCAGACTTCCAGTTTGTATTGAGGGTGTCAGAACTCCACACTTCCTGTAGCAGTATTCTAGTTTTGCAGTCATTTAGTTCCTCTTTTGTATACCTTTTTTTTTTTTAAATGTGTTTTTGTTGGCTGAACTCTTACGAGAGAGTGGAGTGGCGCAGAGATGGCCATTAGCTTCCATGGTTTGCCCCTTCTGCTTTTAATTCCTGTAGGGCTTAGGAGTTGGCTCCGTTTGGAATTGTCCAAGCTTCAGTTTACATTAGTAATGGAAGGCATAGACACACCTGAACATTGAGAGCACTGAGCATTAGCCAGTTGGAATACATATTTGACCATCTAAGTAGGTGATGGTTGTAAGATAGAAGGACTTCATATCCTCATGTGCTGTTTGCTACAGAGTTTTTATATCACGCTGTAGCAACTGGTTGTTTCTATTCTTTGATCATTTATTTCACTTAGTTCCATCAAAAAGCATAATATACATTAAGCAACATAAACTTGCTGTATCCACGTTTGTCTAATTTCTTCTACACTTTTTAGGCTCAAGATTTATGAAGAACTGCTTGAAAGCAAGAACTTTTCTGAGTCAAGGATGCCATCTAAATAAACTGGGGAGGCTAAAAAGCTGCCTTTAGGGAAACTTAATTCTTACCACCCTGTGACTGCTTTCTTAAAGCATCACCTCAGTGCTCTATTTCACATGAATGACTCGAGTGTTGGATGGACTAAGGCAATGTAACAAGGCCAGGACTGACTTGCATTATTCCGGAATTCAATTGACAAAATCTGGTAAAGCTGGCCTAGAGATCATTGTAGATGTAAAGAAACTGCTGCACTTTGGAAGTCACTTCTACTTTTTCTTTTGCTTTGCTTACAATCACTGGTGGGGCAGAAGAAAGTTAATTTGTATTTATTAAAGTCTTGTTTTTAAAAATGGAAATTGTCAGCAGTAGACTATAAACTCTGATCTTGGCCTTTGTAATGTGATGTACCAGACATAAATGTATAGGTACTTCAGGGTTAATACTAGAACAGTTCATGGCTATGTATTATTAGTTGGCTCTTACTAACTGTAGAGCCACCTGTAGTAAAACAGATATAAAACCAAAAGCACACATATAGTTCAGGTGCTTTAAAATAACTTTTCCCTCTTCCCCAGTACCCTTTTTCTCCTAGGAAGTTTTGCAAAACCTATTCTACATGCCTTTTAAGCATTGTGTTTCAGAATATTTGTATATATATATAAACTGTATTTAGTTGATGTTGATAAGTAGCGGTATCGTAAATGTTTTAAAAATCATATAATCCAGGGCATTTGGGGCTGAGGGAGGGTAGGTGATAGAATTTGCCTTTGTGAACAGACTTCCTTGAACAATTACCCAAGTCCCACTTGGAAGCTCTTCTTTTGTTCCAGGTGAAGATAATAACTAATGTGTAGCTTGAGTCAGTCTGCACCATTATTTCAAGTCAAGGGATTGTCTTCTTTCATCATGAGTCAGAGAATGTTCAGCAGAGCACACTGCAAGAGAGAAGCTCATCCCTCTTAAGACTGCTTGTCCTGGGAGGGCCCATTGGCAGGGCTCTGTCTTACTGGGAGGAGGTCATAATGACCAGGAATATGGCTGTTCCTAGGTAGGTCGTATGGATTCTGGACATGGCTGGAGTTATGACCGAGGCCTTCTTGGACCACAATGACTGTGGGCTCTAAGGAATATAGTGAAAAATGAGTTCAGAGAACAGATTAGCTTTGGTTGTTTTGTTGGGAAGGAAGAGTTCTATTTAACAGGGTTGAAAGAGGAGCTAGGGAGAGAGTTAGGACTGATGATTGATCAAGAGATGGGAAACTTAAGTGAATGTGCTGTCAAAATCCCAGCCTCTGGTCAACACCAAGACATTTAGAATATTCTAGAGATAGGGTTCTTATCAATGTGCCCAGGAACGTAGTTTAAACTGGGAACGGGTAGAAGAAGGTGATTTAGAAACTTGCAAATACCAATTCTGATTTTCTTTTTCAAACTGGGGTTTGTATGAACAATCAGTTGAAGTATGTGTACCCATTCCCCACATACTCTGTTTCTGCTTCAGATTAGTTCTGGTGTTTTACAAGCAAGTTGGCACAAGATTTTGATTTCCTGCATTAGAGGGGAAGGCAATTCTGGGAAGGAGAGTTTACCTTGGATTCCTTAAAAAAAGCAACGAAAGAAGGGCGTGTTGTCAAGACAGGGTGAGAGGAGAGGGCTCCTTTTCATTTGAATGCTGCACTATTGCCCTGATTTCACTACGTACTTATTTGAGACACCTACCAACTTCATATATATTTTTATTAGATGTCGACAAGGATGGCACATCTGTGTATGGAGAACCCTTGTGCACAGGTGACTTCATTTCTACATAGCTGCTTTCCGGAAGCCTGCAGGTGAGGATGGGTGGGTCCTTAATTGTGGCGTAAGGGTTTTCACTGCTATTCAAGGAGCAAGTACTAGAACTGCACACGGAGTCTTTCATGTAATCTGCAAAGCAAGAGAGATTTCTTAGGACAAGCAAGGACATAAGTCTTAACAGACTGCAGCTGAGTTCATGTGTCTTCAGGATCCTGGGGCTGGGAAAGCCTTATGATAATCAAAGGTTTATTATTAAATATCTTGAGGTGTACTTTCTCGGATAGAGTTCTTTTTCTAAAAAAAACATGCTTTTCAAGGATAGAATGTTTTTAGTTGTTAGATATTCAAGATATTTGCAGTATACCTTCACATATATTGTTTAGTCTTCACAAACGATAGTTTGTATTTTATGGGACAAGCCCAGAGAGACGAAGTGACTTGGCTATGGTCACACAACTAGTAAATAGCAGTGCCAAGACTTGAACCCATGCCTTGGAACTCCTTGGCCAATGTGTTTTCTGTGATATTCTTCTGAGGTCTTTTTGATGACTAAGCTTCAGTTCAGAAGAGCAGGTATATGTGTTTTAGTGTAGATGTCAGCAATTTATCATCCGTTAGTTGGCAAATTAGTGGCCTCCTGCCTTCCAGGAGCTCATGATTAGAATTAGAGCTGGGCCAACTGAAGTGTAATAGAGGTATTAAAAGCCCCTCAGTCAAACCAGCTTTTGGAAATTTCCTGTTTTCTAGCAAGCTTGCAGTGTCCTTTAGGGTCATCTTCCCCGGTTCTTTTTAGCTCTGACTGAAACCTTTTTCAGCAATGTTCTTTGATTCTAGAGTTCCTGCTGCTTCTCCTGCAGTCTTGGTGCATCATCCCCAAGACTTCAGAGTACAAAAGGATGTAAACTGGTTTCCAAATATGAGACAGGGTAATTGTAGCTTCACCAGAGGAAGATAGGTCCCTTTGTGACTTGGGGTCAGAGGGAAAGGGGACCTCCTCCTTCAACCACTACACTTTTTCCCTTTTGAGAAGATCACTGCCTCCTGCAGATCATCTCAGGTGAGGCTCAGGCTAGTAGGGTGTCTAGAAGCAAATACTGAATTACAGGGCCTTGACAGCCAAGAATGATCTAAGAGGCCTCTCCTTGAAATTTCTGTGAAAGTTAGCAGGCAGTGGAATGTTTGGATGATCTTTCACTAAAGCCACCATGACTTAAACTTTGGGCTGCAGCACAGGCTTTCTGCCCCCATCTTGTGAGATTAATGGATATGTTTTTTAAAAAAAAAAAAAGTGAGAGTGGTATTTCTCAGAGGGTGACTAGATGTGCCTTTGGCCAGTGAGAGCAGGAGTACCCCATGTGGCTGAAGTAACTGAGATGTGTGCCACAAGTACTCTTGAGTTTCTCCCATAGCAGGTAGTGGGTTGGGAGGGAATTTTGTTTCTGTTAAAGTAGGCATCTGTTCAGCTGTTTAGAAGGCAGCATTTCCTTAATCTTGTACAAAATACATTCATCATTAGTTTCTGCAAGTGTTTACAAAGCTTTGTAATACAGGTAGAGCAGTAATTATTACCCCTCCCCCTGTCTTGTGGCTTATGAGGAAGTTGAGATTTACAGTGGGGAATTGATTTCCCCAGGTTACACTGCTTATCAGTAGTAGAACAAGTTCAAAAAATAGACTCAGGGCACTTTCTATCACAGCTTAGCCCACCAGTATGGAATGTTGGTTTTGGGTCTGGTCTTAGATTGTGACTTCTTTATAGCATATCATGCTAGAGAGAAGGAGGAGAAAACATTCTTGCTAGTCAGTGAGCAGTCTCAGCCAGTTACATAAAGGACTAAAGGAGGCTGAAGAGGCCCAGCTGGAGGCTTATGTGGGGAAAGCTGGCTGTGGGTCCTGGATCATCATCTGCCCCCAAACCATGCCTCTTTGTTTCTTAGTACAAGAGGGCGGTTAAGTCCAGGAACTACAAGTTGGCTTATGGATTCCAATTTGGGTTCTCTGAATTCATCAGCCAAGAAGTAATGGGTCAGGGCTTCTCATTTGATAGCTGTGTGTTACTTACAGGCTATCACTGCTGTCTAGGATGTATATTTTCTAGAATTTAAGGAATAAGAGTTTGTGTAGCACTTACAGTTATTTGAAACTTGTATGTGTGAAGGGGGCCAGGCAGGAAGGAGTATTAAAGCTCAGAAAGTTTGTTAGTATAATGCGTAATGTTAATAAGTAGGACTCAACCACTGTCTTTTCCTGTACCCAATCAGGATGCTTTTCCCTCAGGGCATTTTGTTACCTAGAGCTCTTGTCCTGATCTCTGAACAGGTCACATACTGAGAGAACACTGACCACACTTTTTTTTCAGTGCAGGGGCTCAAACCCAGGGCCTTGCTATGCAAGGGCTCTACCACTCAGCTACATCCCCATCCCCTCTGTCCTTATGTCTAAATGTAAGTTCTCTGCAGCTGCTTCACCTTACCTTCAACAAGGAATACCTTTTAGAAATATGGGGCCAAGCCCTGCCGAGAGAAAAAGGCTGTTTTGCCTTTTGTGAGTATCCTCTGGCTGATTAAGCTATGGTAGTAGTGGTGGGGAGCTTAAAACTATGTCAGTGCCTAAAAGAGCCTCAGCCAGCTATTGGTGCCCTATTCTCATTTTCACTAGAAAGTCAGGGCTGCTTCAAGATTTGAGGAATAAATTGTCTACCGTGGAGAAGAAGCACCTAAATTGGATACAAGCTGAATAAGGATTGGGGTGAGGATTAGGCTCAAGGAAAAGTATCTTCTATACAATGGCTAGAGTCATAGAAAAAGGATGAAAAAATTCATGGACTGAGCGTGTTGAGTGACTGGGAAAGGTATTGAATTATCCCATCTCTGCTAGGATTTGGAGGGTGGGGGAGGGCTAGGCCAGCAGACTCAAGTAGCCACTCTCTCCAGCTGAGTCAGCCACCTGGCTGGTCAGGAAGAATAAACCAGCTGGTTTAGATACTTCCTCATTCTTTTACAGCCCCACCCTCACCCCGGTCCCTGCCCTTCAGGGCATTTTGCAAAGAAAGGAGAAGCTTCCACCAAGGCTACTCAAGTTGTGGTGGGAGTCACTCCTCCCAGGCTTATAATTAGCATCAGGATTGAAGCTTGGTCCTTTGACTGCCCTGGCCTTTGCTGTCATTAATTCCTACCTCCGCCAAATTGCATAATCATGGCTTCTGAAATGAATGAAACATCTGCACTCAACAAGGAAGCAAAAATCCATAGAGGAAATGACTTTCTAAAGCTACCTTGTGAGCTACCTACTGAGGTCTTTAGATTCACACTAACATCCAGTTCATGCCCATCAACTTAACTATAGGGGAAAACCCAGGCACCAAATAGCCATCGCTTACATCTCAGCTACTCCTTATGTGTGTGGTGCTGAGGTTTGAACTCAGGGCCTCTACCACTTGAGCCATATCCCCAGTCTTCAGCTACTCCTATCAATAGGAGGCCACACTGCCTTTTTCCTGGCATCCTTCTCTTGATTGAGAGACAGGCTATGGGGAGAAAAAGTGTGCCTTGACTGAATTAAGATTTGGAATGTCAGAGTTTTACAGGGCCTTAGAGATGGTGCTAGTCCAATACCTTTTTTTTTGTGGTCTGGGGTTTGAAGTCAGGTCTATGCCTTAAGCCACTCCACCAGCCCTTTTTTGTGATGGGTTTTTTTGAGATAAGGTCTTGTGAACTATTTGCCTAGGTTGGCTTCAAACCATGAACCTCTTGATCTCAGCCTTCTGAGTAGCTAAGATTATAGACGTGAGCCACTGGCACCTGGCAGCACCTTCCCGTTTTAAAGAGGAAGAAACCCAGGTCCCCAAAACAATGCTGTGTCTTAGTAAGTGCTACAGCAGAGCTAGACCCCAAATCTCTTTAATTTCCAGGCAGTTCAGAGAATACTTAGACTCTTAACTCTTAGCAGTTGTAATTTGGCTTGGCCTTGTAGTCTTAAATTAGTGGTACAAACTAGTACATTAAATGTTTATTTGGGAGGTTAGCCAATAATTAGGACTTACTCTGTGTCTTTTATAAGTGTTTCTGTAAGGTTCTAGACTATGACAGTTCGTTTTCCTCTTTGAATGATATGCTGTTCTCTAATATCTGCTGGTACATTTGCCTACATAGCTGTCTTTTCTCTAGTTTAAAGGTTGATTATAGACAGAGGGGTGAAACAAAATCTGGCTACCCACCTGCTAGGGTCTTTTGTAAGTCGGTGGCTCAGGAAGATGCTCCCATGAAACGAGTGCAGTGGCGCTGAGGTACTGACACTGCTTTCCTTAGCTGTGTTTTACATTTATGGCTTCTAGCTGAAGAGTAGCTACCCTAATCACAATGCATAGGAAAGTTGTGTGCTCATTTATTAGTGTTGGGGACTGTCTGAGTTGATTCAAGTTTAAGTCACGTACATTTTCAGAGGTGGAAGACCTTTAGAGAGTTTTCTGGCCAATCCCCATTCATTTTTGTTTTTGTTGTTTGATTTTTGAGATGGGACTTGCTTTGTAGCTTAGGCTGGCTTTGAACTCACTACATAGCCCAGGCTGGGTTCAAACTTGATCCTCTTGCCTCAGCCTCCTGATTGCTGGTTTTCCAAATGTTCACCACCATGCTTGGTTCCCATTCCTCTTTGAGAAAGCAACTAAGTCCCAAGTCACAGTGATGAAATGGTAGAACTGTCCTTCCTACTTACAGCCTTGCGTACAGAAATGGGGCTGGCCTCCATTTAGATGGTTTATGCCAAAACTCTCAGAAAATTGCTAGAGTCGTGTTCCCAAAAGAGTACTGCCCATTGGCTGGCTTGGACCCTGGGTATGACCTGTCTTCAGACAGTTTTCTTGAGCTTTGTATATCCAAATGCTGTGGTCATTCACTCTTACTGCTGTTTTGTTCACCACCCATCTCACCTCATGTCTAATAAGTTATCTTCCCTAGTGGTAGACAACTAGCTCTCATTGGTTAGGGAACAGTTGTGCCTTGGGTATATCTTAAGTCTTGCTCTGAAAGATCAGAACAGTAACCTGGGAAATCTGGGTCAGTCTAGACCAGCAGTTTATACATCACTGGGTAGTAAGCTTCGCAAGGATGCCCTGAGGTACTCATCACAAATGTAATCTAGGGTCCCACTTCCATCTGCTGCTTCAAACTCAGGAAGATAGATATGAACATCTGTACCTTTCACAAACATTCCAGGTGGTTTTGGTGCACAGCTAGGTTTAGGGTGTCACTGGGATCTTTGCCCACCTTTGTTGATGCTCCTTCAGTTTGACCAAAACTTTTCAGACATCAGAGACAGGATAGCCCCATTACATTAGTACCCCCTTCATAATATGCAAAAACACTTCCCATTGGTGACTTTATTGGACATTCACGGTAACCTTGTTAGACAGTAGGACAGGCATTAGAACAAGACAGGCATAGTTATCCTAAACTTGTAGATGAGGAAACAGCCCTGGGAAGCTCACAGTCTAGGTCACAGTTACTAAGTGACAGCATTCCAAAGCCTCCTGTTTCATCTGGTGTTTAAACCTAGGACCTAATCCAGGGGCAGGACTTGACCTTTCCATTTTGGCTTTACCTGTAGACTTCCTAGAGGAATGATCCGACTTGCAGTTACCTTATGTTAGGGATCTGTCTTGGCTTCTCTGCTCTTGGGGGCAGAGATCTCTTGAAGGTGGTGTGCCACACAATATTAACACTGGGCATCATTTTCATTGCTTGTGCCCCAGAAAGGCAGCAGGTACAGAGTGGCGTTCCTCACCAGCACAACGACAGGAGGCCTCTGGGGCAGGTAGACTGACTTTATTTCAGATTTTATAATCAATTTAATTCGTACTAATTGGTTGGATAATGACGGTCTACATTTCCGAAGACATTTAGTTGGCATCTATAAAAAACCCACAAGCGTTTGCTAAGCAGGTGCAACTGAAATCAAAAGATGAATTCATTATTACACCTCCTGGGACCCAGCTCCCCAGGTTCTGTGGTCTTTTAGCTTTTTTTTTTTTTCCTAAGGGTTAGGCTAGTTTGTCTCTTAGTATTCCTGGCTATTTCAGATCTCTGCTCTTTCTCAGCCCTTTGTAATAGAACATCAGAATTGGATACTCCACCTTTGAAGCCTTTGTCCATAATGTATGTGTTCTGACGTCTGTCCATTCCACATGCACCTGCATACAAATAATAGAAAGAAAAAAACATAGGGTGAAATTTTACTTTTTTTTTCTTTTTCACCTACCCAGAAAATGAATAATTGTTTATTGATAGAAAAGTATTTTATGTTTATTCTACCCTAGATCGTTTTGAGCATACAGGAATTCTTAAACGGCTCCCAGTATGAAGGTGGGCTACAGCGCCCCCTGGCACACTTGGCCTTCTCTTTAACCTTCACCCTCAGGGAATACTTTCAGGAGGTAATAAGAGACATTTGGATGCCACCTGCAGTCACTGTAGTGACTCCAGGCTCCACAGCTCACTGGATAAGGAATGAAGCCAAACCAGTTCTTGAGGGAAGGCTGTGTGACATTCCAAATCTGGTCCTGTTGGATTTTGGAATGGAGTTGTTGGAGACGGTATTTCTCACCTCTCAGCTCTGGTCCTGCCTCTCCTCTGTTGGATCTAAGGGCAGCCAGAGTCAGACGAGTAGCCCATGTTCATAATTAGTCATCTTTACAGGAAGCACATTCATTCCCATCCACAGCTGGCTCGCTCAGTTACCCATTTGGGGAGACTTGAGACTTGTCTTTGAAAAGTATTACCAGTGGTTTTCAGCCCCAACAGTTTCCTTCTCCCTTGTACTGTCATGATTTTTTTCCTAGGTTCTTACAGTGCATGGTCCTAAACCCCAGTCAGAGGCAGGACATAAAGCTTCAGTAACCAAGCTTGGGCTCTTTGGTGACCCCAGAAAAGAAACAGTCTGGCATTTCTAGGTTATAGGCAGTATTGACTGGCTCAAAGTCAAAGCTCGACCCCCCCACACCCCCATTTTTTAACTGAGGACCCAGGACCAGACAACACATGCAGCAAATGCTTACTAAAATACAGTTGGGCTCTCCCATATTTCTGACACTGAAGATCAACCTACTACTGCTTGGATACATCCTCCACATAAGAGTTCCCACATTGAATTTTCAAGGGTTCACTCTTATCTGCCCACTTTACACACATTACCAAGTGATACAGCAGAACCAGGCCCAAGTTTTTTTCAATATGGTTACTCTAAAAGGTCTACAGAAACATGACTGCAGAGTATGCCCCATATTTTTTCAATATAGTTACTCTAAAAGGTCTATAGAAACATGACTGTGTGCTAAAGTGCTGTTTTGACACTTCATTGCAGACAAGGGCTTCCTTTGCCCTCCCTGAAGGTGGGTGCTAGACTTCTTCCTATTATAAAACATAAACTGGGCCCAAGGAGTGTCAGAGACTTGAATTCAAGACCATGCCAGGAAGTGAGAAGTTGTAACTAGAACCCAGATTTCTCCACGGTACTCTTTCCCACTGGTCACCATTCCTGCCTGGGTGTGAGCTAACAAATGACAGATGTGATACTCTGGCTGCACTGATTGAAGAGTGAGATCTGTGAAGCAGGGAGCCCAGAGGATGCTCCTGCTTTGCCCAGAGTCTCACATGGTGGTGGATATGTGTTAAGGGTGGGATCAGGGATTGTAGTTGGTGGCGTTATTGAATGCTTTGTCTGCTGTGCAGGAGACCCACAGCCAAAAACACAGTCCTCTGCTTATAGGCACAGGGTCCTTGAAGTCCATGCCTGCTCAACAGGTAGCTAAGTCCAGAACCTTCACACTTTCTAGTGCCACTGGACCTACGGACCAGCAGGTTAGCAGAGCTGCTCAGCTTTCTTTGTGCTCTTGAAGCCAGAGTTGGAGCTTAGGCCCAGAGTTGTCTAGTGTCCCAAGGCCCTGCCTCACAGTGCCCTAGAGGAGCCCTTTGTGTGGTGACCATATTCTCTGTTCATTCATTGCATTTATTCCTCTGAACCTACTTCTCTAACTCCTACTGTCTTGAGCTCATTTCAGGACTGACTTGCCAAGTCTCCTTTTGCATCTCTCTCAAGCCACCAGTTTGAGCTCAGTGCCAAGAATACTGATTGATAGATTCTGCCCTAGCTTCTCCAGATCTCTGCTTGACAACCATACCCAGTGTTCTGGAAGAGCTTGGCTTGGGCCACTTGTGGGCCTGGGCTCTCTCTAGGGAACAACAGGCTTTTGGCCAGGGAACGAATTCTCCATTAATTGCACCAATAGAGCCCAGTGAACCCCAAAGGTGTTGTCATCCCCAAGTCATTTTTCAGTAGTTGTGGGTTGTTTCATGGACTGTAGGGAGTGTAATTATGTCATGTCCTGACACCTAAAGCAACCCCGGTTTGTTCACTTCCACTGCTGCAATGAACAGACAGGTAATGGGAAGGATTCCCACAAGGTTGCCTTCTTTGGACAGGGCATTGGGTCAGTAGACTAATCATGTAGGGAAAGAGGAGGACTCAACGACAAGAGTTCTGGGACCATGGGGGTGGGTCAAGGGGCAAAGGTGAGGAATAGGGCAGGTACTGGGTCTGATCTGAGGGGATGAGGGTAGGGCTAGGGATCTGACCTGGTGAGTGTGGCTCTGCGGATTGGCTGAGGTGTCTAAGTTCAATGTAGAAGTCCTCTGGCGGGTACCTGGCCTCCAGGGCACTGATGTGGAAATGGGAGTCTAGTGAGGAATGACAGGGAGGGACATTAATTCCAGGGCCTGGTATGGCAGAAGAAGGAGGGGAGTACACAGGCGCAGGGGGCAGGGTGGGGGCAGCCTACAAAGAATCAAGACCTCTGTGTAGCATCCAAAGGGACCCCTAAAGCTATCTACCTTGTTTCTCCTTACCCCCAGACTGAATTCCCACTACTTCCCATAGGAACTGGTGCCCCCAGGGTAGGGGAAGAAGTCCTGAAAGGGTCACCTTGGAAGGGCCTGTGTCAGGCAGAGCTGCTTTTCCCAGATGTAAGTGCTTCCATCTTAAGTCCCCATATCACAGTCCCAGCTGTCTCCCTTGTAGTCCCATCATACCCACCTATCCTCTATTGTAGAAATGAAGGGGGTCCTGGCTTCATTTGCTTATGCGAGCCAAAATAGGGTCGCTGCACTCCTTCTCCCTGAGGAAAGCCATGCTAGGACTCAGCCCTCTCCCTTTGAGCTGGGACAGGGCTCCTCAGTATGGGAGAAGAGGGTGGAACATGATGGGGAGGACAGATTTCGAGCCACTACTGACCTAACACGTTCACATAGCTGTAGGGGGTCCAGCCTGCTGTCTCTCTGTCAAGGGACTTGTTACTGAGCTGTTTGGAGAGTAGGAGAGCCGTTAATACCTAGTGACCGAGGTGTCCCTCCCCAGCCGGAACTCAGCCCAACCTCAATGCAGCCGCCCTGTGATCCTCACCTACCTAGGTAGGCCCTGGACCGTTGAGGGAAGGGAAGAACCAGATATGCATGGTAAGCTACCATGTTATGGTTACGGCCAGTGGGAACAGAGTATGTCCCATCCAAGCCATCAGGTTGAAGTTACAGGGTTCCCAGTCCCTTTGTGGCAAATCGGGGCAAGAGCAGGGCCTTCTAAGAGCTGGGAATGCCTGAACCAAGCTGGCCCTGATGGGAGCAGGTCATCTGGGTGGCCTGAGTTGCAGGAGAGGGGACTATGTCCATTCCTCAGCTGAAACAGGAGGTATCACAGCATGGAAAGAAGTGCTGAGGCTGCCTGTGGTGCTGCCACCTGATTTGGCAGTGTGAGCCTCCCTTTCCTGTGACATAGGGAAAGCCCCAGGGTAGGTGGCTTGAGGCTTATGGGACAATCCTTCCTTTCTCTGCATTCTTGTATAAGGCAAGGATTCTATCCTTGTTTCACATACGGAGACCCAAATTCTTGCTAATGGACACACAAAGAGTCAGGTCTCGGCTCCCTGTCACCTGTCCGTTCTTATTTATTTATTTATTTATTTATTTACGGTGGGACTGGGTTTTGAACTCAGGGCTTCATGCTTGGAAAGCAGGTATTCCACCACTTGAGTCACACCACATTTTGCTCTGGTTATTTTGGAGATGAAGTCTCGCAAACTATTTTTCTGGGCTGGTCTCAAACTGTGATCCTCTCTACCTCAGCCTCCCATGTAGCTAGGATTACAGGCATGAGCCCACCAGTGCCTGGCCCCTGTGCTCTCTATGTCATTGGTTACCTGCCTCTGCTACTGATGCCCTATCTGCCAGATGGAGAGGTCCTTGTCCTCATACATTCCTTCTGAGCCCCTGGGATGAGGTGAGCCCAGCAAGAGGGTCACAACTGCAGTCTCTTAGTAAGAAAATAGGTCCTTAGTCAAGAACTTCCTGCTGGGAAACAGGAGCTCCCAGCTCCTCAAACAAGCTTAGAGCTGAAACTAAGAGTGAGGGTTTGAACACAGGAAGAGGGGCCACAGCTAGCAGGCTGTGCATGGGGCTGACGGCAACAGACTTTACATACGGACCTTTAGGCTCCCTACATGTGGCACTTGTTTCATAGGAAACCATGCTGAGAGTGGCCACAAGGTGTTGCCTTGACTATGGTCCTCGAGTCTTTATTCCTGTCCAGGCTGCACTACTCCCAGGTCTCTGGCAGGAAGCCTAGTCTATGGGCTTCCTCCAAGGTGCAGAAAGGGAGGAAGGGATTCTCAGAGTTCCAGGGTGGAGCCCTGGAATACAGAAAGCTATGTTACTGACCCAGGATGTTATAGGAAGCCAGGAGTCCTGGTTGTGTGCAGCATGATCCTGTTACACCTTGTCCACGGGGCTGTTCTTTCTCAAGTCTAACCTCTCATTCTACCTGATACTGGTCCTGGCACATTAGGGGGTGCACCATTTAGCCCTCCCCTCTGGCCAGGAAGAGGGGATGTCTACACGTATGTGCTGAGACATCCCTACCCAAGGGCTATGACTGATGATAACTGGCTCTGCTGTCAGCCAGGGTTACGCTGGAGCTGTCAGGGAAGGCTCTAACTGGAGGGTGCATACCTGCCTGACTACCTGTCTGTCAAAACACTAGCTATAGCTAGTGTTTGGATTCCACATTCCTCATGTTGGTTCAGACTGCACCAGTGGGTATGTATTGATGATGCTGCATGTCCAAGTTCAAGTTCACTGAATGGCTACTGAGTTATGGAATTCCTGTGTTGTGTTGCTAACATACAGTAGTGGTTTGTGGTGGGTGGTTTTAGTATTTTAATTGCATGTCAACACTGTGGCAAAAGTCACTACATAGTGTACATGGTCATGTGTGATCAGGGTATACATGATGATCAGATGACTCAAACAAGGTGCACAGTTATGTTAAAATGAATGATGCTGTGGCTGGTTACATGTGATGCCTACCAATTACATGGCACTTGTCAGCTCCGCTTAACATGCTCTCCCTGTTATATGATTCAATGTTCACATGTAATCCCAGGGCTGCTCTTTAATGTATTAGTTCCAATATGGGGATGCAGTTCATTCTTGGGCAGGGGAGAGGACTAAATGAGGACAGGGAGTCGGGGGCCCGGTACCTTGGTGGGGCTGTTCCTGTCCAGAGTGCTGGCCTGGCTGGTGGCAGGCCCCCTGCATGACAGTGCGTGGTAGCTGGCATTGGAAAAGCACTGGGCGTGGCTGCTACTTTGAGACAAATCTGGGAAGAGAACAAGGTGCCATATTCCATCATATGCCTACCCCTGGCATGAGACATCCCCAAAACTAATGCTTGGGCTGGGCAGTTTTGAGAGAACCCTGCAGACAGCCAAGTCCCCCATCCCCCAGGTTTCCTGGCATCCACTGCCCCTAAGGCAGTTTAGAGAGCCTGGTTTGCTCCGTCCCTCCCTGCAACATGCAGTTTGGGCTCACTAATGTACAGGGTGGCACTGTCAGCCAGCCTGTTAAGGAACACAAGCTTTGATAGCCTCCTCTGTCCCTGAGTTGCTACTTAGGGCTGGGCTTACTCTCCCATTTCCCTCTGGGGTCAGACCTCAGTAATGAGTCCATAAACAGAATCCCACTCCTCTTGGCCCCAGCCCTTCCCTCCTGCTCTCCTGAGGATTCCAGGACCTCTCTACAGGGCTGGGGAATACCAAGAGAGTAAAATGGGAATACCTAACCACCCTCACTCGTTACGGTCACAGAAGAAATCCCCCAAACCTCTGTGGGCTTGGTCTTTCATCAGAGGATATCGGATTTGGCCAAAACCCAGGGAGGCCCCATGGGCCAGGAACTCTCTGAAGGCAAAGTCTGCTACTGGACCACCTCTGTCTAACCTGCTGCTCCTGGCATGGAGCTGGTATACAGCAGGTGATGCTTAGCAGAAATGACTAAAGTGGTTTGGGTTCTCTAAGCACAAGGTAGAGGAGGCTCTAGGATGGCTGTGAGTGATGGAAGCCCCCTGGAAAGAGCCTATATCCTGTGCTCATCCAGACAGATCCAGTCTCCCATGGCCCAGGACTAGAGCAATCTCAGAGCATTTTGTCCTCTACTGTTTAACTAAATATGAAACAAAAAGCCTATCTCCAAGGCAGCAGCCCAGGGTGCAGGGGACAGGAAGGATCTAACCCAGCAGTCCCACTCCCACCCATGCAGACTTCTTCACAGAGTGCCCATTGGAGTGGTTACCATATCTGTGGACAGACTGAGCTCTGGCACACCTGCCAGAGGAATGCTGTCCAAAATTACACCTGTCCCCAGTCAGGTACTACCCTGGTCCACTGTAGTAACAGAGGACTTTCAGAGAGACTGGCCTGTGGCTCGCCCCAGAAAAGGAGAAATAGACAAGGCCTGGCCACCAAGCCCCAAGGCTGAGCCTGCTGAAGTGGCACAGTCATCAGGCTGGGAGATGCTCCCTAGGGGAGTTTGGGAAAGTTACTACTTCATATGGGTAGCCTAAAGATTGGTGAGAAAGAGAGGGAAGCTCTGAACCATAACTGCCCAGAGCTGAGGGTTCACAGAAACACTCATGAAACCCTATGGAACCCCACAGACCTTGCCCACGTAGCCTTCTGATCCCTTACCCCCATTGTCTTTCTGGGAGTGACCCAGCTACTAACCGTGCAGGTACAACCACACACCTTCAGCAGTAGGCCTGGGTGCCCCCAAGGATGCCGCATGGCCTTTCCTGGCTTGTGGAACACAGCTTACCTGGGAGCGCGGGGCACAGCCTACCTGAGAGGGAGTAGTCGGTGCTGGTCATCCTCATGGCCGGGGTGTAGGAGACCCGGGGAGCCAGGTCACGGCCCTTCTCTTTCTGCCGGCGCCGGCGCCATGCAAACAGGCCCAGCAGCACCACGATGAGGGATAACAGGAGGACGATGCCTGTGACAGCACCCACTGAGTGCCGCTCTGCACCCAGAGCCGGGCTGATCTTGGTATAGGGATTCAGCTCCTCCATCATGAGGGCAGCTGTGGGAGAGGGAAGGCCTGAGCCTGGGGTGGCCTGCTTGCTCTTTGGATCTCCTGGGCCACCTGGGCCTGGGCTCAGGCTCCTTTGAGCCCACTAGAGTTAGGAAACCCGGCTCTGCTCATGGCACTGGTCTTTAATCCCTATGTAACCCAAACCTTCAATGTGCTTTGAATTCTCTAACTGCCTACAAAGGGATGGAGTCCCCAGGGTCCTGACCAGGAACAAATGTGATTGTGTATGTGAAACAAAATAATAAACATTTATTGAGTATTTTACTCTGTTCTAAAAATGAGTTACAGAGTTACTCATTTCATCTTTGTGGCAGCCCTATGAAAATGGCCTATTTAATTATTTCCCTTTCCACTGATGAAAAAACTGAGTCACCAGAGGGTTAGGTAACTTGCCCAAGATCACACAACCAGTAATTGTCAGGCAAGAAAAATCAGACTCAGCTCATCAACCTGCTTACCGCTGTGTGACTCAGCCCACGCCTTGGTTGTTTATAGCAATAAAGACAATAATCCCGCCTTTCTTGGGAGCACTGTGCCTGTGTGCCCAGGATGACTGCCAACGTCTCTTGATTATATATATGTGTGGCTAGACCCCTCTGTGTGCTGCTGGATCCAGGGGTGTCCTGCTAGCCTTGCAGCATTCCAGACCCCTCCTTGGCTATCAATTGCTGGTTGAGCAGAGCTGGTCAACATTACCAGGGAGGCAAATGTGTCACACTGTTCTCAAAGACAATCCTTGACTGCAGTAGAAACCTGTCTTTTGGCTTGTGTTCTGTAATGTGGGTAACTGAGATACCATTCTCTTTCTGCATCTCCTAGAACCAACAGCAGAATCCCTTACAGGTTCACAGCACTTCATAAAGGGTTTGTATGAACACAAAGTGACCGTTTTTGGAGTGTTCACTTATGCCAAGCACTGTGTTGAGTCCTTCACTCATATCGTCTCAGCTTGATTCTCTCAGCTGTACCATGAGTTGTCTGACTATAGAGCTAGGCCAAGCCCTTGGCCTTCAGAGGAGCCTGTGCCAGGGGTAAGATGAAGATTAATCTCTTCCCTCTTGGCATGTGGAGTAACAGGCCTAGCAAAGGGAAATGACTTGCCCAAGGACACTTAGCAGGTAACGGTATAAGTGGACCTTGGCAGACGTGGTCTGGTGGCCTTTCCACAGCACTAACTTGCTTGGCTCCTAAGGAACTTGCCAAGGATGAGCATGGGGAAGCCATGATGGGAGGTGGCCTCCTGATGTCTGTCTCCTGTGCCCCTCCCAAATATGAATGGGGGAGGGTCTTTCTAAAACCCAGCTGGTCTCTCTGGTCTCTCTATGGAAAGGACCCCATAGCCCCCAGTCTGGGTAGTCTGCCACTTATGTTTTACCTTGGTCACACCTGATTCCTTTGAATCCAGGACTGCAGTAACAGGTGCCAGTGACGTGGTCACAGGTAGCATTGTTCATACACTCACATAGCTGCTCACACCCGTAGCCAAAGGTTCCTGGAGCACATCCTGTGTGGCAGGCAGAGTGCAGATAGACAATGAGATGTGGCTCACTCTCCACCCCTCCCATTCCACGTGAGGTCAACTATGGTCATAGGCTAGCTCTTTCTCAGTGAAGCCTGTTTTACTGCAGCTCCCACTGTGCCTTGCTTAGATACTTGGGGGTGGACAGCTTAGTGCCCTGAGGCAGGGGTTACAGCAGAGAAAGAGAGGGCAGCGCCCACTCATCCCTACTTCCTCGGGCAACACACTTAAGCAGCATTCTCTGTGTGCCAGGCCCTGAGTGAAGCTTCAAAGATATCCTGCCTTCCTCTAGTCCTTCATTACCCTTTTCAGGCCCTTGTTCTGTCCTCAAGACTCCTGTCCCCATCCCAACTGGAGGAGGAGATTCTTCAAGCAGGAGTGAAGGAATGAGCTTCAGTCTCTTTCCTTAGCAGATGCCCCAAGAATCAAGAGCACAGGGGCTGCAGAAAACTCTTGACTCTTGAAGGGGGCAGCTTCCCCTTCAGGAGATGGAGGCCTGGCTCCAACACCAGGACCAGGTTGGGGCAGCTTACTCTGCTCACAGTGGCGTCCAGTGAAACCAGTTCGGCAGGTGCACTTGCCACTGATGTGGTCACAGCTGGCGCCATTCTGACACTGGCACACACGCCCACAATCCTTCCCAAAAAACGCTGCTGGGCAACCTAAAGAAATGACCTCAGGTCACAGTGGCTGCAGGGTGCAGCTAGGACCCAACCTTTCACCTCTCTGTGGAGCATGGAAGGAAGGCTCGTGAGAGCCAGCACCAGAGCCATTTGTACCCTCTAGACCCCATGCTGATGGGGTGGGGTGGTGGTGAGATGTCCCCCCAAAGGGGGCCTTGGAACCAGAATCAGAGACCAGGCTCAGAACTCCACACTCTGGCCACAGACTGTTCCTCTCCACTGTCCCTAGGAGGATCTGGTCTTGCGGACTACTCGGGTACCTGGCAGTCCTGACTTTCCAGGATGTTGAGCCTGTTACCTCTCCCCAGATCCATCCAGACCCTGAGGCCAGCCTCCCTCCCTTGATTGCAGATCAGGACTATGCCCACATTGGCCAGTAGGCCGCAGCAGGGGATTGGAAGAGGCCAGGAGGCTGAGAGACAGGGCTTACGCTGAGTGCAGAAGAGTCCAGTCCAGCCCGGGGTGCAGTGACAGGCCCCATCCTCAGCGCTACAGCTCGCCCCGTTGTGGCAGCTGCAGGTGTGGAAGCAGGCAGAGCCCCAGAACCCAGGTGGGCACACTGGGGGAGGGGGAGAGGGTAAAAGGGGGTAGGACAATGCAGAGAGGGACAGGGCAGAAAAGGAGAGGAAAGAGGTACACATCAGAGCCAGACGTCAGGGTCCATTTCTAGGCTTTGGGGCTTGATGCTTGGCTCAGTGTTCCCAGATTTCCTCAACTCACCTCTTGACCTAGTCATCAGCATTTCCATTAGGCCAGATTCTCTGCCCACAATCCTAGTCTTTAGTGAGTGATGCAGCCTGGTCCTGTGTGTCCCTTCTCAGGGGACTGGCTTACAGTGTGTATACTGTGTGTGCTAACTTCCCCTCAGGGCAGGGATTCTTTTTTGACTGGTGAGCACTCTGAGGATGGAATCTGTCTCTCCATTAGAATGGAATTCCCACAGTCCCAACCATCTAACTGGGACTCCCTCCGGGTGCTGGCTAGGTCTCTGCCCTTAGATTGGCACTTCCCAGGGCAGGCCTGTTTACCTTTGCATTAGATTGGGTGCACTATAGTGCCCTGTCCAGGCTTATGGTGCCCAGAACATCATTCATATGGGCCACCCTGAGGGTGCCCACCTCTCTTCTGAGGTTGCTGCCCTGGCCCCACTTCATTTCCATATTTACAAACTCCAGCATGTCAGCCCTCATCCTCTCTTCCCCACCCAAACTCAGGCTGCTCCTTATGCAGCTGCTAATGGGAGTATTAATTCTCAAATTAATAGCATTAATGCTACTATCAACAATACTGACACCTCTATTACCAGCAGCTAACAACATGCACAGTCAGACCTAGTCCTCATCATGTTAGTTATGGTGCTAAATGGGACTCGGGTGAACATTGCTATCTGTACAAGGAGATGCTCAGGTGGAGGTGCTAGGGCAAAAAAAGGCATTTCAGGTGGGCCTGACCATGGATAGGGACCTTGCAGGGGACAGCAGCTTACCCTGTGAGCAGTCCTTGCCAATCCATCCAGGAAAGCACTGGCAGGAGCCATCGATGGGGCTGCAGGTCCCATTGTTGGCACAGGAACAGAGTTGGGCACAGTCCTGCCCAAAGTGCCCTCCAGCACACACTGTGGGCATAGGGCAGTCTGGTACCTGCCCTCCCACCCACGCTCCTCAGGCCACCACCCACAGCCTCACCCTGAGAGGTTCCTGGTCCACAGCTGCGACCATCCTGGGTCACAGCTCTGGATGGGAATCACCATCACCCTTCTCCACTGCACATAAACAAGTGCCCCTTGTGCCCACAGCTGCAGGGGGCTCTGTTACAACCTTTGAGAGCAGAACAAGCTGAGGCCCACAGAGGTGGAATCACTTGAGTCCAGTCTCACAAGTGGAAAGTGATGAGGCTGGGCATGGTCCCTCTGGGTCTCAATCTAGTGTCCCCTCTACTGCTCCCAGCCTTTGCTTCCCATCACCACACTTGCCAGCACCACTGACCCCCCCAGCCATGACAGATGGAAGAAGAGGGACAAATGATGCGGGCAGGTCTATGTATAGTCTGACCATTGCGGGACTGGCCCTGAATGTCTGTTCCTATCTACCTATCCACTAGTTCTCTAAGCTCTCCCCATAGCTCAGCTCAGGGCCCTTCTCAGGGAGGGTATTTCTATTCTGAATTGCCTGGAGGATTTGGTCCCAGCCTGGGGAGTGTCTGGTTTCCTCAATCGGGTTGCAAGGACTAGGTCTATGTATTAAGTGAACACCTATCTACCTCTGGTTTCCTACACTTTATACTCACCTGCTTCCTTCAGTTCTCTAATCCTTCAAGGCCCTTCTGTACCCTGCTCAAATAGCTGCAATGTCTCCCCATTGCCCCACAATAAATCTCTAGATCCTGGAGTACAGCACTTAACCTACCTTTCCTGGGTTATCCTTGACTATCCCTTTCCTAGACACAGGCCTGGACCCCACAACAACTTCTAAATATATCACCTTATAAATATATCTGGCCTTTCTCCTGTGCCTTTGTTCTAGCAGTTGCCTTCCAGAATTCCCCTGACCCCCACGTCCAGCTGTGGAAATCCAAGCCTGAGCCATGTGCTCAGGATAGCAAAAGGAGAATACAGAGTGAACCTGGGATACTGACATCTTTGTAAGCTATGCTGACATTCTTCAGATGCCTGGTTTGGTGTATTTTTAGTATTATGTGAGGGAAATAAGGCGCATCATTTTGAAGCCAGTTATTTTGGGGTTTTATGATGCTTATATCTGAACTTAATCCTGATTCACCTCTCTCTCTGTTCTGGATACTATGTCCTTGTTTGAGGCTCCAGAAGTTTCTTTCCTGGCCATCTATTACTGAAACTTGGAGCCTATTTCAGGCCACACCTGGATCTACCCCTCTTGTGCCCTCTACAATGCATGGAAAGACAAAGACACTCAGAGCATCAGGATGGAACATGTGGAAATAAACTGGCCATCCCTTTCTATTCATTCCCAGCCTCTGCTGGGAAAGGCTGAGCTCAGAGTTTTCCCCTCTGGACAGGCTGTGTGAGGGCAGGGAACAAGCTCCTTTGTTCTTTGTTGTACAACTGAGTTTCCTGCACAGCAAACATGTAGGAAATACACCTCAGGGGCAGACCTTCCAGAAGGTTCTGCTGAGATGAGGGACCCCTGTCCCTTCAAGCTCCCCTCAGTTGAACTTGCTCCCTCTACATCCTAAAAGGAGACTTCCTTGCACAATTCAGAGCAATTATCTGAATCCCAAGGTCCTTACTGGCCAAGTCACATGGAGGATCATGAAAAGGTATTGACTCTTGAAGAAAAGGTGTCTTCCCTAGACTCGGGTCTCTCAAAGCATGAGCTGTCACCCTCTCCTTTCCACCACAATGCCTCATACTGCCAGTCCTTCCCACTCAGGTAATGGGCGCCTGGTGGCTAGAATCTGTGTTCACTCTGTGCCTCTCCTGGACATAGTTTAGTGGCTGGGACAAATAATGAAGGCAGCATGGGGGACTAGACTTCATTTTAGGTCCTACTTTTAGTGTTTATTCAACAAACAAGTATGATATTTATATGCACCTAACACTGTTCAAAGTGCTTCAGAGGCTGGGATGTAGCTCAGTGGTGGAGTGCTTACCTACCGTGGTAGGCATAGGGTTCTGTCCCCAACACCATGCAAAATACTTCATAAATACTACTTCACTTAGTCTTGTAACACTCTCATTATTATATTCTCATCATTATCCCACTTCACAGATGAGGACACTGAGTACTACTACTCTTCTTGGCTAAGTACCTTGAGCAAACCACATCCCTCCCCTGTTGGCCTCTGTTTCCTCATCTTTGACACTGGGATGAGAGCCCCATGTCATAGCTAACGGTCAGGCAGGCTGGCTGACCTGGGGCCCTGCGCCCTTCCCTTGGCAAACACTTTAGTGCCTTCCAGGCAGGTCCACTGCCTGAAGGATGACACAATCACACCTGTTTGCCGCTCAAGCTCTGCCTATAGTTTTCTGAAACACGAGTCACCTGGCCTCTTCCTCCCTGCCTCTGGGAGGTGCTGTATTTGGGGAACCCACCCCAATCCTGGCTCTGTGAGGAGCAGGGTGCTGGAGCTGTTCCATCTACCCCCACCCCAAAACTGACTGAGCTTCTCTAACAAGATAGTCGTCTCTTTGAAGTCTTTCTCACACATACGAGGCTGACAAATTCACCCACAGAGCTACTAATGTAATCAGTCTAATACATTAATTGCTAGACTTCTCAGCTGAATCAAGAGTAAGGCAAGGGGTGAGGCAGCACAGAGGGAAGGGGGGCTGGTGAAAAGAAAACATCTGGTTCTATTTAATCTATGTTTAATGATTCTGCACAAGCAGTGTCTGTAATTTGTAACTCACTGGAAAGCCAGTCATTAGAAAGTGTCAGTTCAATTTTTTACAAGGTTTGAGACTTAACCAGGGCAGCTGCCATTAATAGCAAACTGTAGTTAGATCTATATGTGGAAAATACTCATTAGGCCAGCGGGTAATAAATCAGACAACGAGGATGCGAGAGGGATTCCTCAGGCTGCCGAGGCCCTAATTTAGACCTGGCCCAGCTGTATTGACGGCCAGGTCTCCTATGTTCAATAAGTAAACCTGGACCTGTCAGGTGATGATTAAACTCTCCTAGGAGGGCTGCAAGCAAATGAAACTGTCACACATGTTTTCCTGGGGCCCAAACTTCTCCTGACCTCAACACATCATGGAATAAACTTTCCTCTCATACATATTAACAGCCCCCAGACTTAAATAGCCCAGGTAGGCAGTGATTATTTATCAAAAGAATGGCTTCCCCTGGGAGGTAGTAAGCATTCAGTCAAGACAAGTATTTAAGGAGAGGCCAGATGCGATTCTTGCCTAAGTGACCTTGAAGTTGCCTTTAGCGCTAAGTTTACCTTATCCTCATACCCCTTCATAATCCCTATGGGTTAGAGTGAAAACTCTGCAAGTTGGTGTTCAAAGGTGTTCTGAAGGCCCTTGCCTAGCAGCTGGCTGCCATCTTCAGGCACCACACCCTTGAGCCATGCCCTATAGCTGGCCAGCAGCATGTCAGGCTCTGTGCTTTGCCCAGGCTGTTCCCATCTCCCACAATGTCTTCCTTTTTCATGCTGGAGGCTGAAGTCCTGCACAGCCCACGGGGCTCCCCCAGATCCACACTGCCTGGGCCTAAGTAGCCACACAGCAGTGAATGGCGTATGCTGGGGCAGGCTCCTGTCTTCCCACTGGTGGCTAACGAGGGATTTTTGTTCATGGTGTTAAACCATTGGTACTATGCAATCAGCCATGGTGGGTACATTTATCTCATAGAAATCCGCGGGTATCACAAAACACAGTGTCCCTCACAGAGGGCCTCTCCAACTCCTGTTAAGAGTGGCAGTGGCCTGGAGTTGGTGTTGGAAAGGGTTCTGAGGTTCAGACATTTACAGTGTGATGCTAGGGATTAGTGATGCTGACTTGAGCTCACAGGAAGAAGGGCTGGAAAGCCAATACCAGAGCCATCGCTGCTCCCATAGCTTCTTTGCTCTGCCACCTGGCCCTCCACCATAGACTACTTGGGACCATTCCTGTTCACCTGTGCCCATCATTTCCCCTAATTCATTTCAACCACTTGCTAATTGTGAGGCCACAGACATGTCATTTAACCTGTCAGTTTCTTTACCTGTACAGTGGCTTTGTTTTATGCTACATGTTTCTCAATTACCTTTCCTGTTCTGCCTCTTTCCTCTCTGCCTGCCCCGTGCCTTTCCCCTGGAGACAGTACCTTGGTTGCAGAGGGCTCCGGAGAATCCTGGGAGGCACTCACAGATGCCACTGATGTGGTGGCAGGATCCACTGCTGTGCACACAGAGAGGGCAAGGCTGGGCACAGCCGTGGCCATAGAACCCAGGGGGACAGACTGCGGGTGAAGGGGAGATGGAAGTCAGCAGCCCAGGGGGCCCCAGCCAACCTGGCCACCCTTCCTGTTCCACACTCCAACAAATGGAGGCTTATCAAAAAGGTGGGCAGAAAAAATGTGGGATAGCTGCATGTTTCCTAGGTCTCGGGGGCCCATCTCCTGCCTCCTCTCTTTGGTGATACTAGGGTTTGAATTCAAGGTGCTTGAGCTATCCCTCTCCAGACCTTTTTGCTTTAATTATTTTCCAGGTAGCGTTTTTGCCCAGGCTGGGCCTCAGACCATGATTCTCCTATCTCCACCTCTCAAGTAGCTGGGATAACAGGTATGAGCCACCAAACTCGGCAGCCCATCCTTTTTGAAGATAGGAGCTGTTTCTACCAAGAAGCTAGGCTGAGCCCTGAACTTGGGCACAGCAGCTAGTTCAGTTGAGGGGACTAGAGAAAGGAAAGAGAGGGGGACTGACATCCAGAGCCCAGCCTCCCTCAGGCCAGCACTAGTTCCAAATGGGAAGGGCTGGGGATAAGGAACTGTCTGAGGTCTTGAGGTCCTCTGGGTGGGGCTGGGGGGGTTCAGGCTTACTTCTCTGGCATAAGGGTCCTCGGAAGCCAGGGGCACACTCGCAGCTCCCATCCTCTGGAGAGCAGGAGCCACCATTCTCACAGCTGCAGGAGACAGAGCAGTTGGGGCCCCAGCGACCAGGTGGACATGTGCTGTCACAGCGGATGCCTATGGGCCAGAGGCAGACGCAGGTCAGTGCTAAGAGGGGTGATGGCAGAGGGAAAGGGCACAGTGCAATGTGAAGAGGCAGAAGCAAGCAAAGTGTATCTGAGAATGTGGAGGAGGGACCCAGCAGGGTGTGGCTCGTCTAGAGGACTTCTGAGAAGAGATGATGCCCAGTCCAAAAAGACAAGACCAGGCAGAGAACCACATGTACAGACAGCAGGAGGCAGGAGGCATCACAGCTTGCAGGGAATTAAGCAGCATAGTGTGGCAGAACCGTGGTGAGCTGAATGGGGCCCAGCAGGAGATGAGATGTTGGAACCAAGAAAAGACCAGAGATGAAGGCCTCCTCCATTTTCGCACCTTAGTTGGCATCAAGAACAGACTGTGAGAAGCCCACCATGGGCAGTGAGTGCCCTGGAGGAGGGCTGCCCAAGCTGGGGGTGAGCTCTCGTCCACCTGTGTTAGCCTGAGAGCCACTGGTCCTCCTGGGTTGCAGCCAACCAGCCCAGGTGGGGCTCAGAGAGTGGGTGGGGTCTTTTCAGATACTTTTGTGCCACAGTTCTGTATTTTACATCATATGCACATGTACATAATAGAAGAAACCAGCTATTTTAAAAATGCTAGCTGGAACCCAACAAATTGATTTTAATGACCTTCAGTTTGATACCCAGAGGCCTGTGGGGGACTGGATGGAAAAGCTCAATAAGAAAGAGGAGACTGATTTACAGTACTCTTAGGCTGAAGGTGTGCTGGACCGGTTTCAGCTTGAAGACTAAGAAGGAATTTTCAAAGACCGGAGGTAGAGGCTGGATGCCCTGTTCTCGGGAGGGGCTTCCTCCCTGGCAGAAAGGTATCCAGTCTGACATGTATTAGGTGAGTGGAATAGGGGCCCAGGAGACGGGCTGGGCTTTGAAAGGTGAATATCAGAGGCTCTGAGAGGAGCAGAATTAATTTTAAAAAATCATGTCTGCTTTGTTATAAGGACAGGGACTGTGAGAAAGAAAAGAAAGAGGCAGAGAAAGACACTCAGACTCAGCAAACACAGTCAGCCCTCTCAGTGAAGGGGAGCAGTGGGACCAATTTGGAGTCAGCTGGAATCCACAGGCTCACTTGGCCAGCGGGGAAGGGGAGGGGTGCAGCTGCATCTTTTCCTCCCCATGCCTCTTCCTCCTTCTCTCCCTGGAATGCTTTGATTTTGCTGCAGGATGGGGACTTTATTCTCTGGGAAATAGGGGTAGAGGCTTTTCCCTGAGGAATGAGATCTGTTCCCAGTGAGATTCTGACAGCCATATTTGCCAAGTTTTACCCAAAGACAAGAGGTGAACAATGGATGCCCATCATGGATGGACTTTAGCCTGGGGAAAGGAAACCACAAGGCTGGTCAAAGTTTTGTGTGTATCTTCAAGTTTCCTCTCCTAGGTTATAGTCCTCTCATGGTATCTGTGAGGACTACCAGAATCTGAGCATGCTCAGGTCGCAGTCCCCTTATATAAAATTGCGTAGCGTTTGCGTATAACCTATGCGTACTCTCCTGTATACTTTAAATCACCTAGATTACGTAGAGTACCGTTAGGTTCAATGTAAGTGCTGTGTACTTACATCTCTTTCTAGTTGTTATGCTGTATGTGTTATACTGGATAATGACAAGAAAAGTGCATACAACCAGTACAGATGCAATTTGGTTTTTAAAAGATATCTTCAATCTGCCATTGGTTGAGTCCTGGGATGCAGAACCCATGGACACAGAGGGCTGAAAGTACACTGAAAGCCGGGATCTGTGGTCTCCTAGCCAATGGCTGTGAGAGGTGTAGCCGCTTCGTGTATGGGATCCTCAAAGTGCTCGGGTCAAGAGGGGCCTCTTTTGTAGAGACTGACAGCCATGCATGTGTGGTGTCCACACTCGGACTGCAGGAGGCTGCCAGGTCCCACTGCATTCTAGGCCTGGGTAATCACTACATTTGGAGCCTGGTTTTGGGGGAGGGGGCTTATGTGTCCTAAGAGCTCCCTGGGACTTATGACTTTGGGTCAAAGGGTCTCCTGTGTGGAGTGACCAGGTCCAGGAGGACTTACTGGTGGGACCAAAGAGGCTAACCCTGGCCTTGTAGGAGGCCCCCCCCAGCTACAGCCCCGGAAGCAGCAGTTTTATCAGTTACCTTCTTGGGCCCCAGTTCTCCCCACAGTTAATAAGGATTATTGCCCTCCTCAGAGGTCCCTTCCTTCTTACCCCGGGACCCTTGCTTTAGTTTTCATCTGTATTGGTGAATAAAGCTAAGAATCCATACACTGTGATCTCTAGTTCATGCCCCAAGACCAGCAGCCTACATCCTTCAGGGTATGGAGGACCTTCCTCCTACAGAAAGCCTTCCTGGGTATCTGCCCAGGGATTCAGACACCTGTCTGACAGTCACTGGAATACTGCTATTGACTGGTTCATACACATAACTCCTGCCTCTCTTTCTAGCAGTTTGAAGACAGGAGCCACAGCTCACTGATACTCCACTTCTGCTTACCTGCTCATGGGCAGGGATGCTACTGGGCTATTTCTGCACATCTGGTGCCTGGAACAGTATTTGGCACACAGTAGGTGCTCAGGACTGTTGCTGAATTTTACTGGGCACATGGCAGCTGCCAAGTGAAGACTTGCTAGATGAAATGACACAGGACGCCCTCATGAAATGTGACAGTCTCCCAGCCTTCTGGGACTAGTGTCAGTGAGACCTGAGACCTCAGCTTAAGAGGATTGGAACAGATAATCTTTAAGGTCTCCTCCCATGTATGGTCTCAGGAAAGCTTCCTTCCATTTATTTCGAGAACCATTTAGTGAGCACTTAGGACACACAGGGCAAAGGGAATAAGATGTAATGACTATCATCAACAGCCATGGGTCCTGGAAGGAAGCTAGAGACTTGTATACAGTTCTGGGCAAACCAAAACCCATGGCATGCTGAGGCACGAGCAACATCCATGTCTGGGGAAAACAGCTCGGATTGTTCTTGGGGCAGGTCTGGGAGGGAAGGGCTCACTGAGGCGGAGGCCCAGGCCTTTTCCCCTTCCCATGCCTCTCTCCTCAGCCTCCTTCTGAATGACAAGGCTCAGGACGTCAGTCACCTCTTTGAAGAGCCTTCAGGACCACCTGTGGGGAAACTGACTAGAACAGCAAAGGCCTCGCTGAAAGATTGTCCATCAAAGATGGAATTTTTAAGCACCAGATCGGCTTCTTCAAAATTAAGGCAACAAGAAATTAAAGTGGATTTGCACTCTGCTCTAGCTGAGAATGGAGGATGATGGTGACCAGGCTGGTGGCTCAATCCATGCTAAGTGGCAGCAGCCAGCAGGGCAGGAGAAACTAGCAGAGATGCACAGGGGACTGTGTCTGGCCCTTGGTTGCTCAGAAAGGAAAAAAGAGTCACTGGGTGAGTGTGATCCAGACAGAGGGAAGGAGAGGAGAGGAGATAGGGAGGACGTGATGACGGGGGTCGTGGCCATAGTTTGGATCCTGGACTTTATGAGTCACAGGAAAGCACCGAGGCACCCTGAGCAGGAGTGAGTGATGGATTTGAAGAGTCCGCCCTGGCCACCACATGAAGAATGGAGGCAATCCGGCCAGGGGTCAGCCAGAGGCCATTCAAGGGGAGAGGTGAGTAGTGGTCATGGCTCACCCTGGATGTGGGGATAGGGGCTCTGGGGCAGGAAGTTCTCCACCATATACTCTGCAACCGAGCACTCACACCCACCCCCCATCAACCTTTGAATTTATTGGTGAGTGCCTAGCTACTAGGGCAGATCCTGTGCACAACAGGCGCTCAGCAATCCCTTGCTTACCAGAATGGAAGGGAGAAGGAGCCCAGAGCAGATGAAGGGAAGATGCACAGTTAGGGAGCGATAGGAAAGGTACCAAAGTGAAGACCAGTCAAGAAGTGTAAGAGGAGAGCAAGGGCCCAACTTCACAGCACGTGCGGAGTGGTGGGGCAGTGGGTTACCTGTCCATCCCGCCAGGCAGCAGCACTGGCCTGTGACAGGATCACAACCATCGGCATGGCTGCAGTCACAGTGTTCACTGCAGTTCAGTCCAAAGGTGCCATCCTGTGGAGAAGAGGGTCACTCGCTGCCACTGGCACTTGATGACAAAACTGGGCAACAACCCTGTGGGGCTGCAGAGACTGGGTCTGGGCACAGTGAGGGGTTTTTTTTGTAACTGGAATATGAAGGGCCATGAAGTCACACCAAAAAATTACTTGGTTGCATTAATGGGAGTATGAGGTTTAGGGAGAGGGAAGTGATGGTCGTGCCTCATTTTCAATGCTAGGCTCAAGGGCTTGCAATGGCCACTACTACATTGTCAATGAAAATAAACTTTTCTAGTTGTGATATCCGTGACATGTGAGGAATGACTATGATTTATTCTTTGTTACTGGGGGAGAAAATGGCAACCATCTCTTATGTGTTACCCATAAGGTGTGAAGAGCCTCATACACCTCATGTCCTTAATCCTCACCCCAATGCTGTGAGATGTTTCTATTGCATTCCAGCTGTAAAGACGGGAAATAGGGCTGGAGAGGAGAAGTAAAACTTCAGGATTTGAATCCAAGACTCCAATGCCCACATGGGTTCAAGTGCACAGCACTTGGTTTAACAGATGGAGACCCAGTAGCCAAGGGGGTGGATTTTTCTGGACAGTGTAGTTCAGGCCTTGCAGCCTGATCATGAAAGTACCAATTGTGGGAACAGACAGCAGTGTGGACACTGTCAAGCTGCTTGCTGGCTTGGGACTATCCTGTGCCCTGCTGGAGATGGTTCTGTAGCCACATTTGAATGCAAGTAGAGGGCCAGAGTCAGTTAACAACGTTTACCAGAAGCATCAGTGCAGAGCAGTGCCTTGTTGCCACATCTGTCAGGAATTTGCCATTTTATAGGTGGGAAGGCTGAAGGCAAGGTAGGAAAAGGCCACACTGAGGTTAGGACCATCTGTGATCTGAATCTGCATTTCATACCACCTGTTCTAGGACTCTTTTCTGCATTTCTCAGGGGACAAAGTCACCCCAAGGGAAAGGCATGGGGGAACTCACCGGGCAGGGCAGTTCGCAGGTGTCCCCCAGCCAGCCTGGGGTGCAGGTGCAGGAGCCGTCGGTGGGGCTGCAGGTTGCCCCATGAGTGCAGGCGCAGCTCTCATTGCAGTTCAGGCCCCATGTCCCACCAGGACATGGCAAGGTACAGTCCAGGCCCTGCCACCCTGAAGGGATGGAAAGGGTTGGCACCTCTCCAGGCCCAGCTGGCCTTCCGACCACTTCCCCAGCCCTGCAGGACACTTGCCCACATTCCACAGTCAGTTCTGAACAGCACCATGGTCAGGAAAGCTGGGGTCCAGGGCTCCCCTGCAGGTTTTGTGCCTGCTGTGGGCAGATGGCCCCGGATGGGGAAGCAGCTTGGGTGGCGAGGTTCCCTTCAAGTTGGTTGCTTATGTTACCCAAGATCCTCTATTGGAGGACAAGCTGCTTCTCCTTCTGAGGCCACTGGCCTCTCCCCACCATTGTCTTTCTCCTCCCTCCTCTGTTCCATGGCATTGGAGGCTGACCCTGCAGTCTGCACAGCCAGTTGCTTGCAGCTGGCTCTAGGTGGCTTTGTCCAGGGGGACCTGGCCTACAGATCAGAGGCAGGAAAGAAGTCAGTTATGCCTTCCTGCTCTTTCGCTGCCTTGGACCAGGTCTTGGTTTGTTTTGAGACAGAGTCTTACTATGCAGCTCAGATGGCCTGGAACTCCCGATCCTCCTAACTCAGCCTCCTGAGTGCTGGGATTACAGGTGTGTGACACCACACCTACTCTGGGTCAGGCATCTCCTTGGAGCGCCAGCCTTGAAGCCATGCCCAGGCTCTGGGATTTCTGCTCCTCCTTTTGTTCCTCCAATCCTAGGGACGGTGGCATCCTCTCCCATAAGTGCCAGCGTCCTGGTCCTGGGATTACCGTCTCCATGCTCTCTCCAACCATCCTGACAGCCCATGAGGAGGCCTCTACATTCCTACCATCACGTTCCTGGCATGGGTTTCCTTGGCTGGTACCTGACTAGCATGGGCTCCCTGGCCCTGCACGGGGGCAAGTGGGTGGGAGTAGCCCTCCCGAGACCTAGAGCTAGCCTCTCACATGGGCCTGGGGGTGGGACTTGGGAGGGGCACTATACCTTCCTTGCAGGTGCAGGAACCATCAACTGGGGAGCAGGTGCCACCATTGTTACAACTACAGACAGACGAGCAGTTGGGGCCGTAGGTCCCTGCTGCACAGGGAACTGCACAGACCTCTCCCTGCAAAGAGAGGGTGCAGATTTGGGATCAGCAGTTGCCTTGTGCTGGGTGGCTGTGGCAGGCAGGATAGTGTTCTCCTTCCCAAAGATGTCCATGTCCTCCTCCCCAGGACTTGCCAGTATGTTACCTTATGTGGCAAAGGGGACCTTACAGATGTGACTAAGGACCTGGGGAAGGGGAAATAGCTGGGATTATCCAAGTGGGCCTAATAGAATCACACGAGTCCTTAAAAGTAGAAGACAACCAAGGAAGGGAGGTCAGAGACCCTGAGACCCATCTGCTGCGTGACTTTGAAGATGGCGGAAGGGGGCCACAAGGCAAGAGATCCAGCAGCCTCTAAAAGCGAGGCCCAGCCTTTGTGCAGCAGCAAGGAGGTGGGGGCCCAGCCCTTTTACTCACAGGACCTGAATTCACCAACAGCCTGAGCAGCAGGGACAGACTCCCTGGGAGTCTGCCAACACCTGATTTCGGCTTCACACCACACCAGAATTCAGACCCCCAGAACTGTATAATAGTAAGCTTGCATTGATTTAAGCCATTAAATTCATGAAGATTTGTCACAGCAGCAAGTTGGTGTTAGGTCACAGCAGCACCGAACTCAACCCTTTGCTCCTCCCACAACACAGTGACCCAAACAGTAGCATCCTGTCACCCTGTGCTAGACCACGGAGAAGTCAGGTATCAATGACAACAGCTGATGCCTGCTGAGTGCTTTCCCAGTATCACCACCATCTCACTAAATGCTTACCACTCACTTACTCTGGAGTCAGAACCAGTTGTCTCAGCTTCCATCCTACTTTGCAGGTAGAAGTTAAATAACTGGCCCCAGGTGGGCTACTTAACCATTATGTCAGTGGTGTCACAAGCTAGCCTCCATGAAAAGTATTCCTGGAGCTGGGGACTGATGAGCTCCTGAGGAAACCCTGTGAAGGCTGAGGGAAAGGGACCTGGTAGAGAAGGTGACACTGCTGATCCACAGTTGTCTCAATGGAAGGGCCTCTAAATCCTCAACCCCTGGTTCGCTGTATACTGTCTGGGTCGGGCATGATTCCCCAGGTAAGTGGGCCATCTTTGAGGGCAGTTTCTAGAAAGGTGCCCAGCTGGGAGCTGCTAATTTCCAGCAGCTGGGAGGAATGAACACCTTAGTCCCAAAGTGTAGATGTGGGTGCCACACCACAGGCACTGCCCCAGGAAGTGGGGTGCTGTTAACTTCAGCAGGGGGACTGAGTGGGCAAGTTACAGGGCAGGGACCGGGAATAGGGACCTCAGAGCCTTGGGGGGAGAAGAGCAGGGTAAAGGCTATCCAGGCAGGAAGGGTGAGTGGGTGAGGCTGCAGGGGAGCACAGCCAGGAATGTTCTAGGAGTGGCCAAAGGGAGGCCAAGGACAGAGTTAAAAGGAGGCTGGTGCCTTACAGTGGCAGGTAAGGGAGGGTGGGCTTTCTTATCTGGGTCCCCCAGGACATGCCTTCCCCATTCCAGAGCTCACATACAAGACTGGCTGCTCTGGGCCTGTTGAGTTCTCACTGCCTCCCCCTAGCGGATGTCTCCAAGTCTTACACCCACACTTCCCGAACAGATCCTGACGGAACAGCTTGGGGCCCCCATAGCTGTGTGACGTGGGTGTGAAAATCAATTTAGGCTGGGTCTTTTCTGTCAAAGGATTTAATCAGTAACCACTGCTGTTACAATGTTAGTCTCACTAACTCGCTTCCCATACGCTTGCTTCATGAACTCTGCTTAATGTGATAAAAGTTTCTATTAAGAACAAAGGGTTGTTATCCTCAAAGGGGCAAGAATTCCACTAGATGCTTGGTTCCAGAGCTGATAACCTGAAACAGTTATTGCTCCTCTGAACTTTTAAACATCTTTGTTCCCAAAGCCCCCTTCCAACCTGTCCCCTTTCTGTTTAGCCAACCGCATAGACTTGTGGACCCAAAACCTGCCCAATCCAGGGGCAGGAGAGCGACAGCATGGCATCACATAAAACCCCCGTGGACTTCCTGTGCACACCTCCCAGACTTCCTGGTGAAGTAAATTTTGCCTTGCCTATTGACTTCTGAGTAGTGTTGTCTCTCTTGTGACACCCCAATATGTTAGAGATATTTCTAACATGGGGTAGGTTACTGCCCCTCTCTGAGCCCCAGTCCCAGCATCTGTAAAATGGAAGGCTTGCAGCAAAGAAGCCCTCTCTCCATTATGGGGGCCCAGAACCTGGCTTCACCTCCATTTAGGCCACAGAGAGGCCAGCGGATGTGGGCCTGTGGCCAAGGGGAGGCCCCTTGTACAGGTCCTTCCTGGGCCATCTTGCCTGCATTGGCTGGGCCAGAAAGTAGGAGTACACAGGCCACCACCACAGGCCCCTGCCAGGCCCTGGCAGGTCTGACCAGCTGGTTTGTCAGCTTTTCCAGGAGACAACTCTCATTTCTCGAAGTATAAACAGCCCATAAGAATACACTTTATCTCTGAGGGCCTCGGTCTGGGTGTGAGTCACACACTCGGGGTGTGCCTTCTCTGTGTGGGACAGGCACACAGACGGACAGGTTTTTCTCCAGCCCCAACCCAAATGCCTCAGGTGGCCTTTGGGCCCAGGTGTGGGTCTGCAGATGGGGCTCAGAGAGGACTCCTCCCCACCCTGGCCAGGGGACAAGGAGCAGGGTGTCTGGCTGCCCAGAATGCCATGCCAGGGCTCCATTTCTTCCTAGAGAGGTCCAGAGGCCACTAAGCCAAGAGCCCTCACTGCTTCCAGAGGGAAAAAGGGAGACTCTGAGCAGGCAGTGATTGGCCTAGGGCCTTGGTGTGGTCTCTGCCAGTGAAAGTACTGGGGGAGGTGCAGCTCTGCCCGCCTGGGTGGTCACAGGGGCTAGCAGCACCTTGCACAACCAAATGAACTGTGGAACTCTCAGTGCCCACATCTGTAAAATGGGACAGTGATGTCCCCATTACACAGACGGTAAAGCAGACTGAATTAGCTCTCTTTTGTGCCACAGGTAGATCAGAGCCTGGCGGATAGGAACCGTATCTCCTATGAAAAGAACATGCAAAACCCTCTAAGGTTTAAGCCAAAAGAAGCTGGGAGGATCCACTTCTTACCCAATCAACAAAACCCAGATGCTGCTCTCCCAGGGGGGCAGGGATCCCTCTCAACCCCTTGGGGCTGGCTCAGTTCCCCACCTCACCATTCAAGTTGGCCCAGACCGTTACCACCACACACCAAAGGCATGGTCTCAGGGACTACCATGTGCCAGTACTGTTCTAACTCCAGGTACTGTTCTAAACACTTTCAGTTGTTCCTGAAAGCAAAAGTCCAGGGGCATGGTGGTCACGCCTATAATCCCAGCTACTCAGGAGGCATAGATCTAGATGATCTGGTTCAAGGGCAAAAAGTTAGTGAAGCCCCATCTCCAAGAACACCTGGGCATGGTGATGTGTATCTGTAGTTCCAACTATGTGGGAGACATAGGTAGAAGGACCTCAGACTGAGGGTGGTCCTGGGCAAAACCGCAAGCTCCTATCCAGAATATAACTGCAGCAAAAAGGGCTATGCATGGCTCAATCGGCAGAGTGCCTACCTACCAAGGGAAGCCCTGAGTTCAAACGCCAGTGCCACCAAAACAAACAAACAAACAAAATCCCAAGCTCAAATGGGGAAGCTGAAGGGTCCTCAAGTGTGTGATTATACTGGAAGAGCACAGCTTGTACGGCTAGCTGCAGCACTCCCTGCCTCCACCTCACTGTGCCCACCCTGGGGCTCAGTGTGACATCTTTCTGGTTCTCACACCTCACCAAGGAAGAGTAGGAACAAGCATGCATTTGCTCCAACTCCCTGGCCTCTGGTGACTGATGTTCACTGTAAGTCAATAACCAGCCTCTCAGCTTAGACCATCAGCTCCACCCACTCAGGGCAGCCCCTGGCCCAAGGTCTGGTGTAACCTCCTGGATTCGGGGGACCACTAACAGACATTAATGGTGATGTCTGCCTGGTATCTGAGTCTACATGGGTCAGTTTTACATCTACACATGCTTGGGTAGTCAGGGTGTCTGCTGTGTCTAGTTGTCTGTCTCTATAGCTAAGTATACATTTGTGGCTCCTTCCTTCTTTATCCTTTCTTCCCTGTGTCTTTCCTGATGCCCTCCCACCTGCCACCCTGCCCTGGTGGGTGTTAGGTGCACACAGCAGCTATCACCCTAGCACCTGAGGGTCTTGCGGGTTGGGGAGGCCCTGATTGTACTTAGGGCAAGACATTCAGAACCTGGCCCCCTGCTGGTACATAATAGCCTTGGTAAATATATAACTGAGATGAGAGGTTTGTGTGTACACTCCGGCTTCTACTGTGGACAGAGCCAGGAAGACTGGGTACTTTTTATCTGCTTCTCTCTCACACTAGCCAATTCCACAAATGTTTGTGGGGCCAGCGCAGAGTCAGCCCTGTTGTAGGCTCCAGGGGCACAGCCTGGACCTAAGACCTGTGCTCTGCCCTTGGGCAACCAGAGATGGTCATTTGTCCACCTTCTTACTTATTTACTATCTGCCTTCCCCAGCAAGACAAGAGGCTTTGTAAGAACTGGACCTTGTCCTCTGCATTGCTCCAGCTTGGTACCTGCACACAGCAAAGGATTCTGTAAATTATGTTGAACAAGAGTGAAGGGCCCTGTAGGCAGGGTTCAGTGGTCTCACCAGGGAAGCAAAGCATTGTCTGGTCTGAGGATGAATTGCATGCTACCATTGACTGTGAGCTCCTGGGCTCTTTGTGAAAAGGGAAAACCAGGCCAGATCCCGGTCTGTGGCTCTGCACCTCACCTCAGCACGCCCTGCCCACTTGGCCTACTCAAGCCCTACTCAAGACTGACAAGCCCTTGGAGCATCTGTTCGGACGAAACAGGACCCGGAGCCAACAGTGGGCCCCAGGGGCAGAGCTGGGACTTGCCAGTCGGTGCTCCCAAGGCCTGGCTGCAGTGGCTGGGTCTTTTCTCCCACATGTCCCAGTCCAGCGTCTGGTCCG